ACCGCAGGTACGGGTGGAAGTAAGGGTCAACGGAGACGTAACGGATACGGGCCGGAGGATGCGCTTGGACAAGGTTCATGATGTCGGACCGGGCGCGGATAGTGTTCTTGCCATCTCTGGAGTACACTTCCCAGGTGACGGGGCCGTCGGAGCTGGGGGGAAGCGCGATACGGGCATCGTACAAGTTCTCCAGCTCCTTGATGATTTGGCGCTGTCTCAAGTACCGGGTAAGAGCACGAGCGTGGGCACTCGCTCCTGCGGGAGCGTTCAGGTGCTGACGGGACAAGTCGATGCTAGCCATCTGCATGCTCGTGGCGAGATCCATGGCCCGGTTGATACCACTCTCAATCCGATCGACGGGACCAGTGATGGTGAGAAATTCGCTCTCGTCAGATGCAGGGGGCAGCACGATGGCACATCCGGTGTCGGCGAGGAATTCGTGCAGCGCATCGGCATTATCGCCAAGGATGAACTGGTGTTGACCACGGTTGATAGCCAATTGCCGCAGGACCAATCGGCGCTGCAGATCGGCAGCGAGTCGCTCAACCTCAGCACGGGCTTCCTGTGCAGCAGCCCGCTCTCCAGAGATGTGGATGTTCTTCTCGGGGACCGGGACAAATTGGACCTGACCCGGCTCGGCCTCCTGGGGCGGGGGCTGGCTCAGCCAGGTATCATAGCGGGGCACGTGGACCTGCGCCTTCGTGCGCTCCTCGATGTCCCGAAGGTTGGCATTGTGGGCACCCGCGATGAAGGGGAAGAACTCGGGCGGGATTGTCTTGAGTCGCAGGCTCATGTTGGCAGCACGCTCCTTCACAATGGCCTCGATCTCTCGGCGGGCCATCTCGGCGGCAACGGCGTCACCTTCGATCAGGACGTCAATCGTGTCGGTGTCATCATCATCTTCACCAGCGGCGGGATCCTCTGCACGGGGGACCTGCACACGCGCGCCGGTCCGCTGCTGGATGTCCTGGACAACCGCTCCCTGTCGACCGATAATATGAGGGCGAGCAGATGTGGGGATGGGAACACGGACAGATTGCTAGATACCATGCTTAGTCCGCAGTCTGATGGGGTGGAGAGCATCGACAAGACATCATACCTTGGATCCAACCTGCTGCGCCACCTCTTTGAGGGCTTGTCTCACAGCATCCACCGAGCCCTTACCCTCAAAGATTATAGAACCTCCAGGTCCACCGCGCATATCAACGTTGGCCTTGGACCGCTTGGAGATATCACGCAGGATATCGCGAAGGGGTTTCTTCAGCTGACCGCGGGGGAGCATCTGGGAAGGAACCAGACGCAGCTGTTCCATGTGCTTTCCGGGAAGGCTCATGATTCTGGGGATATCGAGGCCTGGAGCTGATTCAAGACAGGTTAGCAGGATGTCTCAATGGAGAATTCTGGGAACCCGCAATATGGATACAATCAGGTCCAGGCAGAAGAGTTACTACACGACATACCTGCTTGCGCACCACTGGGGGCACCGTTGGCGACGGCGGCAGCGGAAGGTCCCTTCGCACCCCAGGCAGAAGCAGTCGGAACCTTAGGCTTAGGACCGCTTCCCAGAGCAGGGAACAGCTCCTCGGACTGAACATCGAATGCGGGAGCCTTCTTGGGAGCGGGTTTCGGGACCGATGGCGTGGCAGCCGGGGCTGGTGCCTGCGGCGTAGCCTCGGGCTTCACCACCGACGACGGAGGGGGGTGCTGAAGATCATCCTCATCAGGCACGTCCTCCACCGTGGGCCTGTGCGCCTCGTCGCGTGCATGCTGTTCTTCCAGCATGGCGGCACGGGATTTGGGGGCGCCGCCGTTAACGTTCGACAAATCGGTAGCCATTGTCCGCGGTTGTTCGATGAATGGGAAGAGGTATTTGAAGGGAATAGCGATGGGGGTCTGCCTATGACACTGTATATCATTGAGTATTAGCGGGGAATATCATTGAAAAGGCCATTGAGGGGATGAGACAAACAGACGTACCAAGAAAAAAAAAGCCGCCGGGGTTGCGGAGTAGTCGCTGCTCAAAGAGTGCGACGACCGATCAGCAGAGAAAGAATCGCACCAAGAGAAGGGCAATTGGATTTAGAAAAGAATAAATGACAGGGAACAGGTCTTGCGGAGAAACAAGACTGAAGAATAAATGAATATGGGGAAATAAAAATGCAATTGCTGTCTGATCAGGCTAAAAGCAAAAAAAGACAACGGCAGCCGAAGAATAAACAGAGAAAGAGACGAGGGGAAGGAGAGAAGAGGAGGGGAGGGGAGGGAGAAAGAAGAGGTGGGACACGCGGGAGAGAGGAGGAGAGGAAGAGAGAGAGAAGAGAGAGGGGGGAGGTGAATGGAGCGTGAGGCCGAGAAGAGACAGGCTCAAGTGCAAGACAAGTGATGTGATGGAATAATGGAGAGGAGAAGAGGACAGACAGACGGAGGGCCCGGGGGAGTCGGCCCATCGACGGCCGCTGCCGAGATTCTCTTGGAACGTTCCGTTTTCCACTCCGTTCACCTCCAATTCAGTTGATCCTCATTCACCTTCGTCCCTGTCGGTGGTATTCAACGGGGTCTTTGTAATGTCATTCAAATTCAATTGAATCTCCGAGAATGCTTAGTAAGAGTGTCACGGCTTACAAGTTCTTCATGACTTGACGCTCTGTTTACACCCTCATCCTCAAGATCAAGGCTGAGTCCGCCGTAGTCAGCCGAGCGAATTGACCGCGCGTGTGCCTCAAGGTAGTATCGCCTTCACGGTGAAGTAACCGTTACACGATTGTCGGACAGATTTCCTGGCTCAATCTGTCCTTCGGGGTGACAAGGCTGGGACAGCTCATGAGAACATCATCAGCATACGTTTGAATGAGAAAAAATTAGTTACTTGCTTCTGTCTTCTGTCGGGCTTTCTGGTCTTACGAGACCTACCTTTGATATTGATATAACAATAGGGATAATATTTGTTCGTCTCTGCGATTTAGCTAGGTGTTAAATCCTTGTCTGTATATTCCCTTAGGGTTTGAGCCTCTAGATAGATAGTGTAAATGATGCATTTCTTTTTTTTTATCTTTCTTTCCCCGTTTGTCTGAACGGCCTTGCTTTACATTCGGGCTGTATCGAGGGCTTCTTCAATGCTTCGGGTGCCCTTTTGAAAGAAATCTATCTGCCCAGGTAGTAGGTAGGTAACGGCGTGTAAGTTTTTCGGGGATAAGGCATGAGCATTCTGGTGCTTTCCTTCCTGCTTGAAATTCAGATTAGCGCATAAACATCACATACAGATCGTACTTGAGCAACAGCAAATGAGACCCATAGTGTAGTGATTCCATAGTAGTTTCCTGGATTATCATGGAGCACACCCCGTTGTTATTGTAGTTGTTGCCTTCTTCGAATGACTTCCTCTATTCTGCACCATTTTCTAATTGAAACCTATGTCAGTGTCGATCACTTGGAGCATAATATCTAGGCACCCAGACCTGCCTCTCTACCTCCCTGCTTGGGATATTGATAGAGTCACAGTGCTTCTCTCAGACACTCGGTCAATTGCTCTTCGTATGCGTGCTCGACTGTATATTCTATGCTGGTTCATCATCGAGGCAAATGGTTCTCTTTGTTACGATCTGAGGCCCGGGCCAGGGATGAGAAACTCTTGATGATGATCAGCCTTTGGCTGACTTTTGTTTCGGGCAGGATCACAGTGTATGTAGTTTATTATCGAGGCATGTCGTTCCCTTGCTACGATGGATGGTCCATGCCAATGAGGAAGACACTGTTATATGATGCGCAGTCTTAGCTGGCTTCTTGGTGAGGTTTAATGGGGCCACTGTACCTCTCAGAGTGTGTTGCATGCAGATTAACATCGAAACAGAAAGGCAGGGGATTCGCAGGGTATTTATTCGCTCAATGGTCAGCTTTGATCAGCCGCATGTACTTAAGCGACAGAGGAGATTTTTCCGCTATAGGGTGTAGCCATCATCCTCTTTAGACTGATCTTTTGTCTTTCTCATACACGTAAGAGTGTCTGGATACAGCACGTTTCTCTGCGCCTGCTGCTGTCAAAGACAGATAGCTAAACCTGCGTGGAATAGTTGTATTTGAATAAGGTAGGTCGGGATTACGAGGATTGTCTACCCCGTAACTGAGGGTTTTTGTGTTAGCGCGGTCTATAAAGAAAAGGCAAGAGTCTATATGAGATGATATATCACTTTCAGGCAACCTAGAGTGAATGATACCCCGATAGACAGTTTGAGGCAAAACTTCTGTGTGTCTTACGAGACGCTGTCCATTTGCTTTTTTTCTGAGTATGCCTCAGGCATTCGGTAGATGCATTAAGCACCGGCGACGGCAGCAGAGTAGTGCTCAGAATGTTAAAAAACAGAAATTGAGTTAAGTGCGAGTAGACAGCAGGAGTAATTATGACTTCGAACCAACTTCCCATGACTAGGATCATTCTTGATTCTGATCGTGGCTGCTGACCCACCGGGATGATAGGAGAGGAGCGCTAAGCAAGGGCCGAAGTGGACCAAAAGCTTAACCTCGATATGCAAACCTGCATCGGACGTTTTTCACCGGGAAAAGCGAGGGAGAAAAAGAAAAAGAAAAAAGGTTTCCCCCCACGCTCAAAGCTTGTATTTTACCAGAAATCTTTTCATCGTACGGTCCCAGCCTTATTCTGTTTATACGTAGGTTTTCTGTCCTCGATAGATATACCATAGACAAGTCCCATGTCTTCTACCGCCCCCCGTCTTCTGTCTCACAATGCTCTGGTAACACAAGGCTAGACTCGCAAGTTCCCAACTGTTCTGATAAGAACGGAACGGGGGTTATAACCCCGATGGGACGGCTCCATTCCATCGCACGGGATAATTGATAATGACAGCCTACAAATGACTCACGGTTCCTACTTTCTATTCCGTAATAAGTTGCTTTTTTATCTGGGTTGAATTTGACTTGTCTTTCTTTCCCTGTTATGACCTTCTCCCTTTCCAGTGTCTCCAGTTTACCTTAAGAAACGGCCCAACATGGACGCTCACGTCCTCGAGGCAGAAGCCGAGAAAAAACCCCAGACGGAGTTAAACCTGGCCCCCGTCGAAGATGATTCCTCAAAATCCCAGCCGACGGGATTCTTCGCGCGCATTCGATATTACGAGGAGCTGCTGGACCGGAAATTAGGCATCGAGTCGCATAGTCTTGACAGAGTCCCTGCTGATGATCGCCACCCTCCGAACTCGCTAGCCATGGCCTTCATGTGGGCCTCTGCCACCATGAACATCAGTTGTTTCAGTACCGGCTTCCTGGGGAAGCAGTTCGGTTTGTCGTTGGGACAGACGATTCCGATTGTCATTTGCTCGACTTTCTTGGGGGCTTGTGTTACGGTTCGTACTTTCTGTTTTCTTCTTTTTTTTTGTTTTCTTGTTGGGGTCGTTCTCTTTGTATATTGATTGAGTCCACAATAGCCCACTTTGCTTGACTTTCCATTCTGATGCATGATGCTAGGGATGGTGCGCTACCCTGGGCCCTGAGACCGGACTCCGTCAGGTCGCTATCTCCCGGTACTCACTGGGCTTCTACCCGTCGTCTATCATCGCCCTTCTCAATGTGATCGAGCAACTGGGCTGGGCCTCGGTGAACTGCATTACGGGAGGATTAGCACTGAGCGCCGTATCTGACGGCCGCGTCTCCATCGCCGTCGGGGTCGTCATCGTGGCATGCATCAGCTTTGTGTTCAGCTTTGTCGGGCTGAAAGGCGTGCTCCTGTACGAGCAATACGCCTGGACCGTGTTCTTCGTCATCTTCATGATCATCTACGGCGAGTCGGCTCATCGCGCCAACATCGCCGCGCCGCCCACCGTCTTCGGCCTCGATAGGTCCGGCAACGTGCTGAGTCTGATCAGCGTCGTCTACGGGTCCAGCGCGTCGTGGAGTTCCATCGTCTCGGACTTTTACGTCCAGTATCCGGTCAATATCTCCAAGGTGAAGGTCTTTCTGTATACAACCCTCGGAATCACCATCCCCACGTGTATCGGCATGCTGCTCGGCGCTTGTATTAGCTCCGCATTGGACACGAACCCGGAATGGGCTGCTGCGTATGACGATGGGATCGGCGAGATTCTGAAGATCATCATCTATCCGCGCGGATTCGCCAAGTTCCTGCTGGTACTGTTGGTGTTGTCTGGAAGTATGTAGTAGTAACATCCCTAGCCACCCATCCACCCTTCCCGTTACAAACTAACCTGTTCACTCCAACAGTCGGCGTCAACTGCATCGCCATCTACTCCGGTGCCCTCTCCGCCCAACTCTTCGCCAAACCCTTCGCCAAAGTGCCCCGCGCACTCTGGTCCACGCTCGTCTTCGCCTGCATCCTCTGCCTCGGCATCGCAGGCCGGGACCACCTCCTCGACGTCCTCGAGAACTTCCTCTCGCTGCTCGGCTACTGGAACACCTCGTTCTTCGTGATCCTGTTTCTCGAACACTACGTCTTCCGCGGCGGCAAGGTCTCCAACTACGATCTGGACGCGTGGAACACGCCGTCTCGCCTGCCCGTCGGGTACGCGGGCTTCACGGCATTCTTGTGTGGCGCGGCGGGTTGGATCGTGGGCATGGTGGAGACGTATTATGTGGGCGTGTTGGCGAGGCAGATCGGGAGAGATGGGGGCGATGTTGCGAATGAGTTGGCGTTGGTGTTTACGGGCGTGGCGTATGTGCCATTGAGGATGTTGGAGATGAGGTTTGTTGGGCGGTAGGGTTACTTGTTCTACCCTACTCGTCAGTGTAGCATCATTCGATGAGTAGGTCGTTAGGAGCTCGTTAGTTTCTTAAAATGTAAATTTATTGACGAGATATATGGAAGCATCAGTGAAGCTGGTTTCAAGGTGTTTTATTTCATTAGTAGCTCGGTTGGATTGGCTGATGCTAGACTGCTTGATGCTGCTGAGATGGTCGCATGCTACCTAGATCCATAATGCTGTGGGGAAATGCTCGGGTGTAGTCAACTATCTGAGATACAAAGATCAGCTATGCGTTTTGTAAAGGCCATACTCTCTTCTATAGTACTCACCCAACATGCTGCATGAACTACTCAAGGAAGAGAATGTCCTCGTTGAGGATGACTCATGGGGCTGCCATGTCCGTAGAAGGGGCTATGATGCCCACGTGCTATTTGACGGTATAAAAAGGAGGTCAACACAAACTGGTATACAGTAGTTATATGTAAAGGCGCGGACATGATAGTTCAGACTATACAAATGCATGTGAGATGTAAAGAATACACTGAGAGACATTATAGATCTTTATAACAATGACCATGTGAAAAGCTATGGGCTCATTCCCGCCTGTCAGATACGGACGTGGCTGCGCCATTGTGATGGTCGCTCGTATATGTTCATGTTGTGGCTTCGTGAGGTAAAATCGGCCAGCGACGAGAATTCATGGCTGTGCGTTACGCGATAACTTGATTTAATCTGGGGATGTTTTATGTTGAGCATTGAACAGTGACATTCTTTCTACACTGGGTTTTTTTCCCTCGATTGATTGATTGTTGTGTTGTATATATAAAGACGGCTCCGATATCCGTACCCTCTTGTTTCATGTCCAATGATGGGTTGATAATATCTTTCATCATCTACAACAGAGCCAGCAATTATCCAAACTAGATTCATCCGTAGACCGACCTCTCTGCGACATACACAGGTCAGGGAGACAGGTCAAGAGAACCCTACCGAGTCATCTGGTAGCTGAACCGTTGCTTCACCCAGTACGACTAACTACCAAGTAGATAATCAGACTCCCTACAATCGAACAAGTCGCAAAAACAGTCCCAAACAAATTCTGAACAAATCGATATTGATGACCACACTCATCTAGACCTCCTGTCCATCCATATATCAATTAATTAAAAGAAAGTGGAATCGCGGCTAAAAAAAAAGTCCCGAAAGGCCTCCCATTTCGGCATTGGATTGGCAAGGCCACCGTGCCTTATCCCCTACAGCAAGGAAGCAAAAACGGCTGGAGAAAAGAATTTTCTGGACTGATTCTTCTCGGCATGTGGGCTTCTTGGTCTCTAATTGTTTCGGACTAAGCCCCTCGGAGTGGACATATATTCAATAATATCGCCCACCTGTTATGACGATCAGCCCCTGAGGAGATTAGAGATTTGATTGCTGACCGGTGACCATTTATTGGGTGAACGGAGGAGGGGCTTTGAGAGGTCAGAGATGGCAATTTTCATCGTGATGTTTTTTGTTGTTCTACTGTAAACAGATACCGGCAGGTCACTTTCTTGGTCTTTCTCGGGTTTGGATCCATAGAGACCATTTGACATCATCCGGACCGCTGATCGCGTGTCTTCCCGGACGAGAACCGGATTTTCTTTTTCTTTCTTGATTTTTTTTGTGTTTGGCGGCCGCGTTCACGTGACATATGCGGATCCAACTGCGATCGGAATCAATTCCCTTGGCTGTCATAAGTTGGATTCGATGGGATTTGAGTCCTTGACGTGGTTCGGTTGGTTTGCATCTTACCATGAATGGCTTGATTTCGACAAGTGTTGGACCACTACGCACTCCAAGCGGATGAACCATGGGAGGAAATTATCCCGAACGAAAAAATCCGGGGAGCCGGCAACGACTTCGTGTCAAGTTCAACGTTTAAGAGTTAACTACACTAAGACAAAGGATGCCCTAGTGTGTGTGTCCTGGACGACTCCGACAGTTGGTCCCGTCGCGCTCCGGAGAGACGCTAGCGTCGTCGTAGGCTGATATCTCCCGTCTCTCTGCGATTCGAGGTTCTCCTGAGTCAGGTCTGGGGTCTGGACTCTGGACTCCTGGCAGGCAGTGGCACCTTGCCACATACTGAATCCCGTGTACACTATTGTCAATTGTCCATATTAAATCGTCCATCGTCATCATCATGGCTACCAACTAGGTAGTGAGGACCAGTCACATATGATATCCCACAGGTCCGACCGGCCAAGAAGACGCAGAGAGCGGAACGGCTCTGTTCTCCGTTCCCGAACCCAGACGATTAAATTGCACCGGTAAGGGATGGGAAGATTACTAGAGACACATGTGTGACTTGGTCGGGCTGCATCGTATATGTGTCTGCAGGAGCAGGGGGGAGGCCGGACTGGAATTCTACACATCCGGTTTGATCACAGCCGTGAGGATAAGACGGTACCTGCAGAATTGGAAGTGATAAGAGCTGGAAGGCTGGACGGAGCATTGTTTCGCGCGCTTTTGATTCGGCAGTCCTCGCTCTGATCTTCTGGAGGAGAGGTCTGATCGTCATCGGGACTCCCTGACTCGACGGTGTCATTTCATTTCAGTTTTTTTTTTGGGTCGTTCTGACCAAATGGCTTTTATTTCGTTTTTGGGTTTTCACTTTTCGTACTTTGTGATCATGTCAGATGAGGTCGTGTTTAAGTAGCCAAATAAAGTAATTATGTCAGAATGGAACGTTCTTCTTTGGGGCGAGAGAACGATGGACGAGGAGATGAGAGAAGGACCGCGTTAATCTTAAGATTCCAGCCGAGACTGGCAACGTCGTCGGGTCGGTCATTCAAGCCCCGTCTGGAGTCTTGCCCAGCGGTCCTTTTTCCGAAACAACGCACAGATGCTCAGATAGTTCGGTCCCCAGGAGATTGAGGGACGAGATTGGGGGATACTCCGTACACAGGAGCTACCTCTAGCTATTTCTCCTCTCTAGCTACCTAGGTCCTAGGTAGACCAGTCCCAAACACAAGACAACCAAATTATTGGAACGGAGGAGGGAGGGGAAGTCTTATCCGATCGGATCACATCGACTGGGGTCAAGATGTGTCTAGAATTTCTCTCCTGCCCTTCTGAGCGGTCGCATCTGAGACAGGTGATGTAAACCGGTCCTGGAGCCGGCGGGTAATCCCAATCAAATATTATTATTATTATTATCATCATAATAATATTGCGACGAAAGTGATTTAGTTCTTTTACCAGCAGGAGGATATACCCGTAACGTACAGGATAAACGGTACTTTTTTATTTGGTTTTTTGCTTTTTACTCTGCCCCATGTTTGAGCCTTTTCTGTTGACTTGGTTGAAAGGTTAAAAGATCCCTGATATTTCATCAACCGCTAATCAGCGTCTAACCGATGGAAGGGTAAGGCAAGAGACTCATACGGATAATTCACACATAATTAGAATAATAAGAAGTGCATATTGACCGCCCTATTGTCAACCCGCCAGTACGTCACAGGCTGGCCAAGTGGCTGGCCGTTTGCTCTCTTTCTTTCTCTCTCACTCACTATTTCCTTCCCCCTCCTCGATAGAAAAAAGAGATTGCGGTCTTAATATATTAATAAAATCGAATCAAAATAAAATAAGACTTCCATTGAGCTCGACTGCCCTCACCCTCCGGTCAAGTCAAATCTTTTCCTTACTGACGGCCCGTTTGGTACTCGCTTGTCCCCGTCGCTGGTCCAGCCTCCAATCTAACTAAATCAATCAACTGGATCCCTTCCCCCCCCCCCCCCCCCCCCGTCTGGCTTTGTCCCCATCTCCTCCTCTTTCCGCTGCGTGTTTTTTTCCCCTTCCCTTTCCTATTTTTTTTTTTTTAATTTTATTAAATCTGAATAATAATAATAATAAAATAATCAAGTCTCCCCTGGGATCATCGACTAGAAGGAATAATTGCTTTTTCATCTGCCCTCTCGCTTTCTCGCCTTCTCGTCCTCTTTTCTCCTCTCGAAATCCTTTCTCTTTCATTCGCAACTGTCCCTCAGTGGATTGCAGATCTGTGTGCTGAGCTGTCGGTTATCTGCAGTTGATTCAATTTCGGATACCCTCCTCTCTTCTCTTGCCCCGTCACCGCCTAAAGTTGGACACTCAGCGGCTCTCCACGTGCCAACCACTGGATTTTGGTGGTTGACGGTAGCCCGCGCCAGCTTCTCTTTCTTTTTTCTTTTTCCTTTTTCTTCTTTGCGCGCGTCCTCCCTTGCGTCGGCCTAACTGGATCTTCTTGCATCCCCGTTACTCCGTCTCATCCAACGACAGTCATCCTCGTTGGGTCAACATCCATCATTCGTTTTTACCCATCATCTCCCCTCCCAATCATCCATACACATACTACCTGTACAGTTTCACACCCACCTTTCTCTTCCCACCTCCAGACGCCCGGTCCCACCATACTTCGCTGCACAACAACAACTCAAGAATTCAAAACAACACCTCTAAAAAAAAAGAAAAGAAAAAGAAAGTGACGGAAGGGACAGCGAGAAAGCACCGCCTCACCTGGTGGCTTTCCCCCCCCTCTCCCCTCCAATCAAGCCATTGTGCCTAGTCGACTTGGAACCCTGTCACTTTGTTACGACCGTCTGCGTTCCCTCCACCTCCCCCCCAGTCGCTTGACCTGTTAAATTCCCCTCCCCTAAAACCCCGTACGCCATGAATCACGATAGTTTCTCTTTAAAATTTCGACGTCAGTCAAGCAAGCTTCACAAAGATCCTCCTAGCTTTAGTTCTCGAATCCTCAAGAGCCAACAAAGTAACACCTCTCTCAAACGCCATCCCTCCGCCCCAGTCTATCCACGTTCGTCTGCCGCCGGCAGTCGAGAGCACTCGCGCACACGATCCAACGCATACGGCTCCTCTTCCTCCTCCGTCGACCAGAATAGCGGGGGCCCGTCACCGGTCATCGCTGGCAACGACACTGCCCAGCCATCTTCCAACTTTTACTCCGGCAAAGCCCGTCCACCCCACTCGGGACGATTTTCTCTGACCGAACAAAGCTCAGATGAATTGATTGGCGCCCCGTTTGATTCCCGGGGCATGCTCAGTGCTCTTGACGAGAACAGCGCCGAACCCGTAGGAACCCTCCCCGAGAAACCTCCGACCCTACGATCTCAAACCACCCCGGACCCTCGTGGCCTCAGACAGTCTGCCAGCTTCACCACTCTACACAACCGGATGGATAATCTCGTGAATCGGACGGACAATGATCGCCCCGCGAATACGAAACGGTATTCCGACGAGGGGGGCGCTCCCCGGCCGCTGGGGACCGGCCGAAGCAAGAAGAGCAGCTTCTCCAGCTTCGTCAACAGCATGCTAGGCTCTCCGCGTGGCATCAAAATCTCCGCCCCCGAAAACCCCGTGCACGTTACCCACGTCGGTTATGACAACCAGACGGGTCAGTTCACGGGTTTGCCCCGAGAATGGCAGCGGTTGCTGCAGGAGAGCGGTATCTCGAAGAAGGAGCAGGAGGAACACCCGCAGACCATGGTGGATATCATGCGGTTCTACGAAAAGAATGCCCGTGGTGACGATGAGGTGTGGCACAAGTTCGACCACGCATATCCGCAACCACAGTTGATTACAACGGCGACGTCTCAACCCGGCTCCGGCGGATCTGCTGCTCAGCGAACATCCCCTCCGACGAGTCCTCGATTCCCTCAAAACCATGAAGGGAGTTTTGAAAACCCACGGGCACCGCCTCCCATTCCCCGTGGTGTTTCGGTTGGCCAAGCCATGTCCCCGCCTATTGGTGGCGGCGGCCTCGTCCCTAATCGGGCCCCGCCAAAGCCTCCGGCGCCCGCCAATATGACTCCTGCCCGGCCGGCACCTCAGCCACCGGTGGCTACCAGTCCGTATGGTGGTGCCTCCAACCGGCCGGTTCAGGATCCCTTTGCCAACCAGTTCGGTACGCCACCCATTCCGGAGACCGAACCGTTGCCGTCCGAGTCTCAACCCAGCCGATCCAACTCGAAAACCAACGGGTCGCAAGCGGCATGGGCGCCTCCGGCGGTCGTTGCCACGCCGGCACAGTACCAACAGCAGCAGGAGCATGCCCTTGCCGCAGCCCAACAAGCAATCGCCAGCAAACAGCTTGAACGCAGCCGCAGCCAACGTCAGCAGCAGCAGCAGCCGCAGCAGCAACCCCGGCCAGAACAGAAACAGACAGCGCAGCCCCCGCCTCCGCAACATGTCACCCCCGTGGATGACCCTTCCCGTGCCCCTCCCGCAGCTCGCCCCCGGCAGCGGCCCCGTCAGAGCACTGCTATGGACATTCGGTCTCGACTGGTCGCCATCTGTACCCCCGGAGATCCGAGCAAGATGTATCACACTCTCAACAAAATTGGCCAGGGTGCGTCTGGCGGTGTCTTTACCGCCTATCAGAACGGCACCAACAACTGCGTTGCTATCAAGCAAATGAATCTCGATCTGCAGCCGAAGAAGGATCTTATCATCAATGAGATCCTTGTGATGAAAGACAGCAAGCACAGGAATATTGTGAATTTCCTAGACAGTTACCTCCACGGTCTGGACCTGTGGGTGGTGATGGAGTACATGGAAGGCGGCAGTCTGACTGATGTCGTCACTTTCAACATCATGAGCGAAGCCCAGATTGCGGCTGTTTGTCGAGAGGTGGGTTTTATTTTCGGCGGAGTTCCTCTTCGCTCCTCACAAGTACCCGACATTCGAGTTGCTAACATTTGATTTCCAGACGCTTAATGGCTTGCAGCACCTGCACTCGAAAGGGGTTATTCATCGTGATATCAAGTCTGATAACATTCTTCTTTCAATGGATGGCAATATCAAATTAAGTAAGTTCGGAGTCGATATTTGAGTGTTTGACCCAATTTAACGAACAATTACAGCCGATTTTGGTTTCTGTGCCCAAATCAACGACTCCCACAACAAGCGCAACACTATGGTCGGCACGCCCTATTGGATGGCCCCCGAAGTCGTCACCAGAAAGGAATACGGCCGAAAAGTCGACATTTGGAGTTTGGGTATCATGGCAATCGAGATGATCGAGGGCGAACCTCCTTATCTCACGGAATCCCCCCTGCGGGCGCTCTACCTGATTGCCACGAACGGTACACCCAAGATCAAAGATGAACACAATCTGTCGCCCGTCTTCCGGGATTTCCTGTCACTTGCGCTGAAAGTAGACCCGGAAAAAAGAGCGTCGGCACATGATCTGCTGAAGGTATGTTTTCAACTTCTGTTGATTTTCCGGTCCGAACAGCTCGTTAACTTGTGACACAGCATCCATTCATGTCCTTCTGCGCACCGCTCAATCATTTGTCTCCCCTTGTCAAAGCTGCGCGCGCTAGTCGGGCCGCTGAAAAGGCTCAAAAGGGGGGCTAAAAATGCCTCGCATTTAGCTGTCTCTATATATGTTGATGTCCTCTTGTCTCTCCTCCAGATACCCATTACCTCTGATGTTTCATATTTTGCCGGACTACGATATGCTGGCATTGCATAATGGGAAAGACTCGCGTTTTTCCTGGTGCTATTTTTATTCTTTCTGGGCTTCTTTTCCCCGGATCTTAAATGTTATAGATGGCGATGATTTGATGATTACTTCCCCTATTCTTGATTCCTCGCCGCTCCTCTCTGGTGGCATGAGCATTCCTGCACTCTCATTCGATGATCCATATATCCTCCTATCTTTGATGATTGCTAGCACTTCCCTTCACTCCTTTGGCGTGTTTGTGTTGTCTTTATCTTTCCACCGTCTTATCTTTTATAAGATTACTGGGAGGTGACTGTAAATCCTATCTGGAGTTACATATGTTTTGCTTTCGCTCCTGCTATCATTGCCATGTCGCCGGACGGGCTTGAATATCCAATATCATGACTGAGCAAGAGCGGCTGTGAGTGATTTATTTCTACTGGGGCAAGCATCTGTCTACTATTTGTCTTCGGTTGTAGTTGACTGGCGTTCTTATTCTTATCATCCTCATCCTCATCATAATGACTAACGACCTACCTATCTTCTACTCATGGGACCGAAAAACATAATACAAGGCGTTCATATCTTCTACTTACCTCATCAACTTCCTTGAACATTGCTACCATTCCTTGTCCTTTTTCATCCCGTTGTTCTGTCCTGTCCTGTTTTAGTTTGGTTTGAGCTGTTCTAATGGCGCAAAAATCCCTCTCCACTAACCATGACACCTACCTAGTCTACAAGCCCCTAATCCTCTCGACCTTCAACCCCCCTCCCCATGCTTGTGCGACTCGAATAAGCACGCCGAAGACCACCAGCCCGTCCCATTTCCTATTCGTCATGTGTCACCGATGGCGTACCTCCCTACCTGACTGTCTGTCTGTCTGTCTGCCTGAACTACCCCCCGGGTGCCCTCCGACCAACCTACGTATGTACTGTACATACATACCTACGGTCCTTCGGTAGATAAGAGCGGTGTCTTGGCTCAACTTGGCTTGGCTTGACCTTGACTTGGTGGTTATGGTTGTGTGTAGCTGTGGATGTGGATGCGGTCACCGTTCCCTTATCCTTGGAGTCGTACGGTTTGACAATGGGTATTTGCTGGCTCCAGAAGGGGTGTGGTGGAGGAATGAGGCAGTGCATGGGGTTGAACTGAACTTTGCTGCGAGGGTTTTGGAATTGGGTCGGTTGGTTGATTGATTTATGGGATGCTTGTATATTTTTCAGTGTTTTTGTTTCTTCGGGTTGTCTGGAGTGGGTGGTTGTTATCTTGGTTAGGATATATATGTGGGGGTTTGAGGGGGAGATGGGCATGTATGTATATCGTAGGTGTCTTGTGAGTACAGTGTATGTGTGCAGATGTACCATATTGAGGATCTCATTTAGCTCTTTAGTATGATTATCTGCCATAATATGCCAGGAAGAGCTGCTGCCCGTAGAATATTTACTTATCCTCGGCTTGTGCAGTACCTGGAGCGGCCCTTTCCTTGTTAGGGGCAAAGTTACGAAAGAGAAGTATCCGATCCTAAAATATACAGACTAAGATCGACGGTGGGTACATGAACCTCGCAATGAGTCAAGTCACTGACCGCAAAGTGGCGGGTTTGTGGTCTGGGGGCTGGGAGACTGAGCTCGTATATTTAGGGCATTTAGTTAGGGGCAGTTGGGTGAATGGTGCCCGAGCTACTGGTCCGTCAAGAGAATATTCAAAGACAATGGTACAGGTGAAAGATAGGGAATCAACATACACTGTCATAGTTATCTCAGGAGTACCTACATACTCAGTACTCCATAAAGTAGTAGAAAGTATCCGTAAACGTCGTCATCGCCTACAGCAGAGCTCGCTTATTCAGGCGTAGCGCGCGGCCCGTCAGAGGCGGTTCTCCGCCTGCGCGAACCATCGTCACTCGCATCAGGTTGCAGCCTTCCACTCAATGCCCAAGCTTTTTTTCTCTCTGCTGAAACCCACACCTTCTTTCTGGACTTTTACTGCACCGGAATCCCTTTCCTAAACATTCCTCAACTCGAAGGAACAACCTACACTCACCTCTCCCACCGTATCCAACTCACCGGCCAGAGTGGACATCTGGCGACCGTTGACCGCTCCCCCCCGCACCCTCCGGTGTTCTGCCTTGATCTGCGCATTCTTGGACGAGAAAGTTAGCCACGTCGGACCAGCATCTTCGGTTTTTGATCTCGTGGCATAGTGATCATATTCCGGAGAGATAATTCAGATCGGCGGAATCACCATACGTTGAGCGTTCAAAGAGTAGCATCTGAGTTGGGCCAGCTCGAGGCAAAACATACGCGATGTTTCGGCAACAGCAGAACGCCTTTGATGACGCTGTCGGTAAGATCCCCCTGACCCCTCGGTGACTTCAGCATCGCCCCGCGACTTTGTTTCCTGTGGTCCTCAAGTTCGTTGCTGATATGCGACTTTCCCCACAATCTAGCCAAGGCGACCGATGAGAATCTCACTTCCGAGAACTGGGAATATATACTTGTACGAGAACCTTGCCGGGGATACCATTTCTTCGTTGGGAGGAAGACTAGATTGATTGGTTCTGACTGCGTTGGATTGATAGGATGTCTGCGACAAAGTGGCTGCGGAGGAATCTGGGTAGGCTTTCCTTGGTTCCATGTTTGGACAACCCTGCTGGGCCACGGTGATGCTGACATGCGCCCGGGTTTTAGTGCAAAGGATGCTGTTGCTGCCTTGATCAAGCGGCTTGCACATCGCAATGCCAATGTGCAATTATACACTTTGGAGGTTCGTTGCGCCGCTCTGCCCCTGGAGGCTTCTTGGAAGCCGCTATGCGAACCCCCTCGACTTGCTGATCGTTTATATAGCTTGGAAATGCCCTGGCGCAAAACTGCGGTCCTAAGATCCATCGCGAACTAGCATCAAGAAGCTTCACGGATGCCTTGTTACGACTGGCGAGTGATAGGGTAAGATTGCAATGTGCTGCCATGTCGCGAAGATTGTACTGAACAGTGATTTGCTTTTCTAGAACACCCACCAGCAAGTCAAGTCGAAGATCTTGGAGCGCATGCAGGAGTGGACGGAAATGTTCGCCAGTAACCCGGATTTCGGGATCATGGAACAAGCCTACATGACGTTGAAGACGCAAAGTAAGATACACGTTCTTGAATTGATGCGCATGCGGTATGCTAACCAGTCCATGCTGTTCGCTCAGACCCCAACCTACAACCTCCGTCGAAACCCGTGAAAACGGAAATCACAGACATTGATCGCCAGAAGGAGGAGGAAGAACTTCAAATGGCTCTGGCACTCTCGATAAGGGAGAAACCTATACCGGCCGCCGCTGCCACCTCCGCCGCCGTTCTGGACCACCAGCCCGAAGCCAGCTCTTCCGCGGTCAACCAAGTCCAGGAAGCAGCTTCTCAAGCCGTGCCCTCGGGTACTTCAGCAGCTACCGTCTCGCGTGTCCGCGCGCTTTTCGACTTCCAGCCGTCGGAGCCGGGTGAATTGCAGTTTCGCAAGGGCGATGTCATTGCTGTGCTCGAGTCGGTGTATAAGGATTGGTGGAAGGGTTCGCTGAGAGGGCAGACTGGAATCTTCCCTCTTAACTACGTTGAGAAGCTTCCTGATCCTACGGTCGAAGAGCTGCAGCGGGATGCGCAGACGGAAACCGAAGTTTTCGGACAGATCAAGAACGTCGAGAAGCTCTTGACCCTGCTTAGCACGCGTGGCTCTGAGCCCAATGTGCAGGAGAACGAGGAGATCACGAATCTATATCACTCAACCCTGGCAATTCGGCCTAAATTGATCGAGCTGATTGGCAAATACTCGCAAAAGAAGGGTATGCTATCTCATGACAAGAAAATCCACCAAGTGTTTTGCTTTCGGCTTACCATCACCTAGATGAGTTTACGCAACTCAATGAGAAGTTTATCAAAGCTCGACGGGATTATGAGACTCTTCTGGAGGCATCCATGTCGCACCCCGCTCAACCGCAGTATGGCAGACCAGGCCAACCTCAGTACGGATATCCTGGACCCGCGTCGTCCCTGGGTTATCCTGGCGCACAGGCTGACCCCCAGCGGTACTTCAGCCCGCGCCCCCAAGGTTGGTCTCGTCAATACAAATCTTGATATGTGTGCATAATTCTGACATGGCGAAAAACAAAGAGAGCCAGCCCGTCCAGTCTAATACGAATCCCTACTATGGAGGAGATCAGGCGTCTGGGTATCCTGCCCCTACTCAGTCCCCTGACCCGCGCACCCAAACTCCTCCTGCAGGCGCACCATACCAACAGCAGCCTTCGCAGCCTGCCCCCGACTCATACCAGCCAGTGCATCACCGACCGGAGTCGACGTATGAACACCCTCAGGAACTAGGAACGTCCGTTTATGATTCGCCTGTCGACCACCCTTCGGCAGGCCGACCTCCCTACCCCAGCGCTCAAATCCCAGGCGCTATGCAACATTATCCCCAGCAGGAGTACTCTAACCCAGCATACCCCTCTGATGATGCAGCCAACGTACCTCCCACCGGGCAAACGGCCCCATACCCTCCTACCCCCGCGTCCCACCAACCAGCGCCGATGCACCAACCTCCTCCTGTCCCGGGCGCAGCCGGCGCCGTACCTTATCCCCTTAACCCTAGTGGTGGAGGCTATCAGGCATACAACCCTCCTGGAGGTGCCCCTAACTCCAACCCCGCATCCTTCTATCGATAAGTTCATCGTGCCCATGATGAGTTATGAGGGTTAACCGCCTCGATTTGGTCCAATGGTACCGCCTACCCCATGATCTGCTAAGTCGTGAATCGAAGAGCAAGTGAAGGGAGGGCTGCTTAGAACATATCTGTGGCCATCGTCAGATCTCCCTGGGGTGGCTTCGGGTAGTCTTATACTTCTGCATCTGCTCTGGTTGCGACGGAACAAATCCAATTTCCGCAAAATGTACACGTATGAGGCATTCTTGAAGCTTCATGTTTCATCACAGATCTTTGTTGCGTGTCAATTAACGATTAATGTGTCTGCCAATTCAATTAATTGTCAAAAACAGGGTTCTCCGTAAGCCTATACAGTGTAGTCAAACCCAAAGCAGAAAATAGCAAGGGAGTTTAAAAGCGGTGGCCTCAGGCCCCACGCCGCTGCCCACCCCCGCTCCAGCTCCCTCACGTGATGACGTGTCCGGCACCTCTTTTACTGCCGCCTTTTGATGTCAGAAGTTGGTCACTCCCGGCCGGTGTGACTCGAGGAGTGACGAATACTGAGGTGATTAGCTATTATCACTGGGTGCAAGCGGTTTGCTTGCATCCACCTTCTCTTCCACACCCGTGCCCATCTAACCCTGAGGAACCGTGCCCTCTAACAGCTCCCCCCGCAGTCGCGTCCTTTGCCGAACGATGCCCGATTTCGCCCTGGTTCCGGATGCGCTGAGCCGATTCAGTATCTAAAAAAGACAGGAGAAAAAAAATATCAACATAGCTGCAGTTTCATTCTGTTGAGTCGAAGACGATACCTTAACGTCCTGGGCTTCCAGGCCCAGATGTAATACCGGCAACCATGGAATCCGATTGGGATGAGTTGTCGCGCATTCCGGTGCCTCCTCCAAGTCCGCATGCGTTGCCCTCGGTCGCGACGACAGTAGCCTTCGACGATGTGATGGAGCTGTTGTGGGTGGGGAATGAATATGTGCGTGTTGGTTCAATGGCGGGATGAGCTGATGTGGTGATTTGCGCTGACGCCTTTATTTGGTTTGCTTGGTTAGGGCCGGATTACTTCTTTCTACGGACCTGAATTACAGAGGTATACATCTGTCCGGGCACACCCTGTTTCCGAAGGATCTGTTCGACAGATCCTGTTCCATGACCGAGGCGTGATTTCGCTGTCTTCGAAAAGCGTACACATGATAACACGACGCGGGTTGACGCAATGGCATGTCGCTCACGAGGAAATGATAGATCTGCGCTGCATGAGCTTCACGGCGCAACTGAATAGAATCATCGTCGCAGGGTGCCAGGGGGCGATGTTCACCATCGATATCGACAAGGGTATCATAATCGACAAGCTGCCGACCGAGTATAATTACACGATGATGAAGAAGAGTCGGTATCTCTGTGCGGCGACTGATACGGGCTCCGTGAATGCTTTGAGCTTGTCGGATTTTCGGGTCGTCAAGTCGTGGAAGGCTCATGGGACGGCTGTGAATGATATGGATGCTCGGAATGATCTGCTGGTTACGTGTGGCTTCTCCGTCCGACATCTCGGATCCTCGATTGTGGATCCTCTGGCCAACGTATACGATCTCAAAACCCTCTCGCCGCTGCCTCCTATCCCGTTCCATGCTGGGGCGGCCTATGTGCGCATGCACCCAAAGCTTCATACAACTAGTTTTGTCGCCTCGCAAACGGGCCAGCTTCAGGTGGTGGATCTGATGAACCCCAACGCGGTCAATCTTCGCCAGGCCAACGTGTCGTATATGCTTGGGATCGACCTCTCGCCTTCCGGAGAAGCTCTGGCGATCAATGATGCGGAGTACATGATTCACCTGTGGGGATCGCCGGCAAAGATCCATTTCAATGAAATGAGTAAGGAGACCGAATTCGCCGATGTCACCCCCCGCGCTCCTCCGCTTGATTGGTCACCCGAGACGCCATTGAACATGATCGGTATGCCGTATTATCACGACCGCCTGCTATCAGCATGGCCGAGTCACCTTGTTTTCGAAGTCGGTAGTCCACCGGCGCCCCTTGACCCGGGGTTGATCCCCTACCTTCGCCCCGCCGAGATTGGGCACTATGCACCAAACCCGAAGAAAACCAGACGAAATCAGGTTGAGAACACGCGAGCGTTGGCTACGACAGAGCCCGCTCTGATTGCCCCGAAGTTCTTGAGCGAGAAGGCACGAGAGCAAAGCAGGGCCAAGTCCGAGGGTTCTATTAGCGATACGGCCGAAGCTCTCGCAGGCGCAAAGCTGAACGGAGAAGCCGAAGATGATCCTCTCCTTAAATATAGCAATGTTGAAATCAAGTACAGCAGATTTGGTGTCGACGATTTTGATTTCAGGTCAGTGCCCTAATTTTGGCCAGAATTCGAATATGAGGCTGACTTACTTCTTAGGTTCTACAATCAAACCGATTTCTCCGGTTTAGAGACGCACATTGCAAACTCATTTACCAACGCCCTTCTACAACTCCTGAAGTTCATCCCCCTGGTGCGGAACGTCGCGTTGAATCATGCTGCGAGCAACTGTATCATCGAGAGCTGCCTTCTTTGCGAGATGGGCTATCTTTTTGACATGCTCGAAAAGGCAAATGGCCAGAACTGCCAGGCCACGAATTTATTGAAAACCTTTAGCAGCTTCCGCGAAGCCTCCAATTTGGGTCTCTTCGAAGAGAATCTGACCACGAAATCACTTTCATCTGCAATTCAATCGGTCAACCGGTTCTTCCTCAACCAAATCGCACATGATTTCCGCATGATTCTTCCAAGCTCTGATGATTTTGATCAGAGGCTAGCGACTATTGCGTCGGAGTCGATCCGATGCATTTACTGCCAGAATGAAATCGTTCGACCCGGCAACTCTCTTGCCAACGAATTGATCTATCCAGCCCTTGATCCCAAACAAGCTCGAAGAAACCCCGCCTTCCGGTTTTCGAACATCTTACGGGCAAGTATTGAGCGCGAGACACAGAACAGAGGGTGGTGCAATTACTGTCGGAGGTATCAGCAAGTGGCCATCAGGAAGACCGTACACCGCATGCCCATGGTTCTGATCCTGAATGCGGCCCTCACTAATCCGATCTACCGACGATTATGGAGTATACCTGGATGGTTACCCGAAGAAGTTGGTATTGTTGTCGATGGCGGACAGATCCTTTGCTTCGAGGGAGAAGATCTCAAATTGCGGAAGCAGGGCAACATGCCCGGGCTCGTGGTGTATGAGCTCGTTGGTCTGGTCTCGGAAATTGATATCCCCGAACACCAGAAACCCCATCTGGTCTCGTTCATTAATGTCTCCATTTCCTCTCGAAAGACCGAACCGGTTAACAAGTGGCACCTATTCAATGACTTCTTGGTCACTGAGGTCGATAAAGACGAAGCCCTGCGGTTTAACCAACCATGGAAGCAACCATGTGTGTTGGCATACCAGGTAAGGGATGCCAGGCATGCCATCGACGACTCTTGGAAGAACTTCTTGGACACCGGTCTTCTGTTCCGTGACTGGTCCCTAAAGTGAGTGGAATCCTACGTAAGCTAAACGAACTGCAGATGCTAACGTTGTATCTCTATCAGTGCCGGCCGCCCCGTGGAATCTCGCGTCACGCTGTCTGAAACGGAGAAGCCAGCCGCCGGTACTCCTGTCGCTCTCGACACCGAGTTCGTGGACCTCGAGAAGGCCGAAATCGACGTTAAAGCAGACGGCTCCCAGGAGATTGTCCGGCCCAGCAAGAGCGGTCTTGCACGAGTCTCTGTTCTCCGAGGCTCCGGCATCCGCGAAGGTGTCCCGTTCATCGACGACTACATCACCATCAAGGAGCCGATTGTTGACTATGTCACTCAGTATTCTGGCATCAAGCCCGGTGATTTGGACCCGAGGACTAGTCAGCATAATCTTGTTCCTCTCAAGGTTGCTTACAAGAAACTATGGCTGCTTCTCAACCTAGGCTGTATTTTTGTCGGCCATGGTCTGGCTTCGGATTTCCGACAGATCAACATTCAGGTTCCCAAGAACCAGACGGTGGATACCCAATATCTATTCTTCCACCCCGGTAAGAACCGGCGACTCAGTCTTCGATATCTCGCCTGGGCGGTGTTCAAGGAGTTCATCCAGGAGGAACCGGCAGATAACAACAGTGGCCATGATTCCATTGAGGATGCACGCATGGCCCTCCGACTGTGGAAGAAGTTCCAGGAATACGAGGACGCAGGGATCGTCAATCAAATCCTGGAGGAAATCTTCCGCGAGGGATCCAAGCTAGGATTCCGCCCCCCTCCTCGCAATGGCACGACCACAGTTCTCTCTCGACCGGGAACCGCGGTGACGATGCAAAACAACAGTGGCCGCAATACCCCCAGCGTGCCCGATGCCGCAGGTGCCGTTAGCGCACCAACTACCCCGAGACAGGCCTTCCGTCGCTCAATCGCCCTGACCCCAAGCAATGGCAGCTTCACCGGTCCCGGCGCAGGCGACTTCTTCAGCGGCAGTCCTTTGAAATGATTGCTGTTCTTTTGTTGTTTGGTTTACTTCATCGTTCTCTTCCTCCTATCCTTCTCACACACTATAGGCATTTGGATTGCTTTTTGACGACCTCTGATGATGGTATGGATGTATGTACGCAGCAGGATTCTTCCTGTAGGGAAACCTGGTGGGGGATATAGAGATGATCCCTAGATGTCTAGAGTTGGGGCTTTGCTGCGTATTATAACCTTAGAAAGATAGTTCTTTGAATTGAAAACCAGTTAAAACATTTTCAACCGATCTGCATGTAGCAATGCCCCTGAATAATAATGGTTTATGTGTAGTAAACAGTAAACCTTCGCAGTTCTTCTGTAACTATGGATGACACATCCAGCAACCGAGTGGGGAATGACGTGTGGGTTTCCCTTCCCTTCGACTTCTTCCACCACAACTCTTCCCTTCCGGTCCCTGACTTCACTCTCTCCTTTCCTCTCTCTACCTCTCTACCCCTTTGCATTTCTCACTCAGTCAGACCTCCCCATCAGAGTGCAGGACAAACACCCCAATTCGCCACCGTCCACTCTCTCACCTCCCTCCCTTTTCCTTTACTCAGCCCCTCCTCACCCAGACCTTGCCCCGCCTCCCGTCAGCAATCCCTCAATATCCGCCATGTCGCGCCATCGCGTGAAAGCATTAAGCTACGACGAGGACGACTTCGAAGACGACGGCTACGACTCTCCCGATCCCGAGGAGCAGGAGTTCCTGGAACAGTGCACGGCCGAGGTTCTTCGACAGTTGCGGTCGGGGGAACCCTCTGTGACGACAGCGACTCGCGAAGAGGTTCAGGAGTCACTGTGGCATTACTATAATGATGTTGAGAAGTCGGTTAACTATTTGAGGGGTGAGTTTGGAACACTTTCATTTCATTTGGTTATCGCAATGGCTTTGCTGACGAAATCGCTGGTCTGGTTAGGCAAAAAGGCTAAGGAAGTGAAGAAGAAGCCTGCGCCTGCGCCTGCGGCAGCCCCGAAAGCGAAAGGAACTACGGGTAAGCACTTGTGTTCTCCTTCCCCTGTGAATTGCCTCATGGATTCTGGTGGTGGTTGGGCTCGGCTTGTCGATCGAAATATATCTCTGGCCGCAAGGAAACTGTCATACGGTGATGGTGAGTATGATCTCGCTTGCTACATGATTGATATTTTTGATTAAAACTGACTCCGTACCTGCGAAGCTCGAACATGTTCTAACAGGTTTCGTAGTGCCTGCGTATCCTTTGCCTCCGTCTACCCTAGAGCCGGCGCCGCAGACCGCACACTTCTCCGCTGCGGAATTCTTTCGCGATACACCATGGCTCAATGTCCCGGCGGATCGCAAGGCCGATATCCTTATCGAACCTCTTTATCCTAGGCTTGGGCTGCTCGGAGGCAACCCCGAAGCTGGCGGCGGGAAAGTGTCGAAACTGGCGGCTCTGGCGGCCGCGCGCAAGAAAAAGGAGTCGGACAAAGCATCGTCACCAGCTCCGGGCCCAGCGGCAGGGGGTGACCAGTCTCGAGCGCCGTCAACCGAATCGAAGGGAGCCCCTTTGTCATTGCGTGAAAGACTTGCTCGGAATGGGAAGCCTCAGAGATCTTCGGAGAGTACGCCATCACCCGGCACGCCTGAAGCGGAATCCCGTCTTGGAAGCCCTTCGCCGGCGAAAAAGCCATCCCCGGAGCCAAGAAAACCAAGCATGCCGGTTGAAGCGGACCTGGAAAAGGCAACACAAGTACTTCAGATTGGTAGCGAACCGAAAGAGGAACCAGCCGTCAACATCCGTGCTCCACCATCAACGTTTGCCAGTACCATCGTTGGGGATGCTGCACGTCCTCCCGCAACCGAGCTCAGCCACTTGCATTCGAATACCTTGGATCTCATGGCGATATATGGACAAGATCTTACTGAACCTTTTGACTTCACAGGCCCAAGCCCCGACGACGTTGTGCTTAATGCACAGAGCTCTGCGAAAGGTTTGGCTATTCGGCGAAAGAACTAGGACCCTCCCTAATAGACTTGTAGGCATGAAGTCGAAACAAGCCGCTTCCAAATCCGCAAGCGACAAGAAGACCCAGGGTGACCTTGCTGGTGGCATGGGCAATCTGACCGTTGAAGAGAAGGTGAATGTCAAAAGCAAGAACTTGGATGTCTTGTCTGAATACAAGAAGTCCCAGCGGAAGAAAGCCATGAACTTTGCGGTCATCGGTGAGTGTGTATGCGACGGATTCAGTGGGCTTTTTACTCATAGGGAGTAGGTCACGTTGATGCTGGGAAAAGTACCCTTATGGGCCGTCTGCTTGCCGACTTGAAAGCCATCGACCAACGCACTTTGGACAAATACCGACGCGAGGCGGAGAAGATCGGGAAGGGATCGTTTGCTCTTGCCTGGGTGCTGGATCAGGGCACTGAAGAACGAGCGAGGGGTGTCACTATCGACATCGCCACTAATAAATTTGAGACCGAGAAGACTGTGTTCACGATAGTGGATGCTCCTGGACATCGAGACTTCGTTCCAAACATGATTGCTGGAGCCAGTCAGGCGGATTTCGCTGTTCTCGTTATCGACTCTAGCATTGGAAATTTCGAATCCGGACTGAAGGGGCAGACCAAGGAACATGCCTTGCTGGTGCGCAGTATGGGCGTACAAAGAATCATCATTGCAGTGAACAAGATGGACTCCGTGCAGTGGGACAAGGGCCGATTCGATGAGATCGAGCAGCAAGTTTCGTCCTTCTTGACCACGGCCGGGTTCCAAGCCAAGAGCATCTCCTTTGTGCCTTGCTCTGGCATCAGCGGTGAAAATGTCAACCGGCGCAGCGAGGATCCCAACGTGTCATGGTACCATGGCCGAACCTTGGTCGAAGAGTTGGAGGCAACCGAGCCGAATTCTCATGCGCTGGAGAAGCCTCTGCGCATGACGATCGGCGATGTCTTCCGCGGCAGCGTGCAAAACCCTCTGTCGATCTCGGGTCGCTTGGATGCCGGCAGTCTGCAAATCGGTGATCAGATCCTCACAATGCCCAGCGGGGAGAAAGCGACGATCCGCAGCCTGGAAGTAGACGGTGAGCCTAGCGATTGGGCTGTGGCCGGTCAGAACGTGGTCTTGAACCTTGTCAACATCGACCCGATTCATCTCCGTTCTGGCGATGTCATCTGCCGGCCGTCCGCTCCGATCTCGAACATCACCACGTTCACAACCAAGGTGCTGGCTTTCGATCACCTTATGCCCAGCATGGTTGACGTCCACCGGGGTCGTCTACATGTGCCGGGACGGATTAGCAAGCTGATTGCCACTTTGGACAAGGGGTCGGGCGAGGTCGTCAAGAAGAGACCGAAGGTCGTCGCACCGGGCACAGTGGCACGCATTGAGGTGGAAATGGACCGCGCCGTGCCGTTAGAAGCGCCTACGAGGATTGTTCTCCGGGCTGGAGGAGAGACCGTGGCGGCAGGATTATTGGAATGAACATGACATTACGACGTCTCATACGATGGGTTTTAGAAAACAGGTACATATACTAGTGAGAATACACCATTGCATAGATTATGATTCTACTCCGACATCGTAAGAATATCTCATCACGGGGTATGATGTGCAATCGGGGTTCAAACAGACTAGGGGGTGGATACTGGTGCTTGGCAGGGTCCCAGTCTTCAGCAGTCAGTGATCGCCACCTGTCCATATTGACATATTGCAGGTAGGGAAGAAGGACAGATGTAGTAATTCTAGATGGAAGATTGAGGTTCGACTCATTTCGAGGAGTCTAGAAGTACCATGACGCTTCATGAAACGGCACCGCCCTTTCCTTGACTCAAGAATGAGGCCGAACAGGAGATTCCACGTATCCTAAAGGGCCCATCCATTCCCGATCGGGCAATCGTCAGGGCTCCGTGCCTGTCGTGAGTCAGCTCTGACATAAGCGACCCTTTCTAGCAAGTTCGATGGACCGCCTCCGCCTGTTCCAATCGGACGAACGCCTGCGGATTCCTTCGGCAGAAAGCCTCAAGCAGAAGGCGGTTTCCGGAGCCCTGTCGCTGAGTCATGCGGTCCCTGGGGAGATTCCGCCAATCAGCGCGTGAGAAGTAAACCTTCACGGGCGAAAAGGCCAGCATGGCCGCTGCACCGGTTCGCCGCCGGAAGATCCCATACAAGAACAAAGCTGGCCGGATATTTCTTTCTCTCTTTCTCTCCCCGTCTTCTCCTCCTCACCCCCATTCTTTCTTTCCTCACCTTCCTCCCCTTCTACTACTCGACTGTGGTTGGGCTTTTCTTTCACGTCTTTTCTACATTCTCTTGTGTCTACTGCAAGAGGTGTTCTTTTATTTCTGCCAGACGAGTTTTGAGAACGCGTCTGCTTCTGCATAGAGGAGATTATTCACTTTAATACGTGTTCCGTCGTGAAAGGGGAACTACGTCCTAACACAGTTCATAATGGCGCGCTCATCTAGCCCCAATGGCGCGGCCAAGCCGTTTGCTGCTTGGTCGACCATCTTCTACCTGCTTCTCGTCTTCATCGCCCCCCTGGCTTTCTTCGGTACCGCACACGCTCAGGATGACTCTGTCGACAGCTACGGAACTGGTATGCATCTTCGCAACACGAATTCTCTGGCAGGGAGCTATATGCTGATTATATTGCAGTCGTCGGTATTGATTTGGGAACCACCTACTCTTGCGTTGGTGTCATGCAAAATGGAAAGGTCGAGATTCTTGTCAACGACCAGGGAAACCGTATCACTCCTTCCTACGTCGCTTTCACCGATGAGGAGCGCCTGGTCGGAGACGCCGCTAAGAACCAATACGCCGCCAACCCCACGCGCACCATCTTCGACATCAAGTGAGTTTTCTCTGCCTGAGGGTACGCTCAGAAGAGAACGACAATTCTAACAGAATCTTTGTTTAGGCGTTTGATTGGTCGCAAGTTTGATGACAAGGACGTTCAGAAGGACATCAAGACTTTCCCCTACAACATCGTCAAGAAGGAGGGCAAGCCCGTCGTTCAGGTCGATGTCAACCAGACCCCCAAGACCCTCACCCCCGAGGAGGTTTCCGCCATGGTTCTCGGCAAGATGAAGGAGATCGCCGAGGGTTACCTTGGAAAGAAGGTCACTCACGCCGTGGTCACCGTTCCCGCCTACTTCAACGACGCTCAGCGTCAGGCCACCAAGGACGCCGGTACCATCGCCGGCCTGAACGTTCTTCGTGTCGTCAACGAGCCCACCGCCGCCGCTATCGCCTACGGCCTGGACAAGACCGGTGATGAGCGCCAGGTTATCGTCTACGATCTCGGTGGTGGTACTTTCGATGTCTCCCTTCTGTCGATCGATAACGGTGTTTTCGAAGTCTTGGCTACCGCTGGTGACACCCACCTGGGTGGTGAGGACTTTGACCACCGCGTCATGGACTACTTCGTCAAGCAGTACAACAAGAAGAACAACGTCAACGTCCGCGATGATCTGAAGGCCATGGGTAAGCTGAAGCGCGAGGTTGAGAAGGCCAAGCGTACTCTGTCTTCCCAGATGTCCACCCGCATCGAAATCGAGGCCTTCCACAACGGCGAGGACTTCTCCGAGACCCTGACCCGTGCCAAGTTCGAGGAGCTGAACATTGAGCTCTTCAAGAAGACTCTGAAGCCCGTTGAGCAGGTGCTCAAGGACGCCAAGGTCAAGAAGGCCGATGTCAACGACATTGTCCTGGTCGGTGGTTCCACCCGTATCCCCAAGGTCCAGGCTCTTCTCGAGGAGTTCTTCGGTGGAAAGAAGGCCAGCAAGGGTATCAACCCTGACGAGGCTGTCGCTTTCGGTGCTGCCGTCCAGGGTGGTGTCCTCTCCGGCGAGGAAGGTACCGGCGACGTTGTTCTCATGGATGTCAACCCCCTCACTCTCGGTATTGAGACCACCGGTGGTGTCATGACCAAGCTCATCCCCCGTAACACCGTCATTCCTACCCGCAAGTCCCAGGTTTTCTCTACCGCCGCGGACAACCAGCCCACCGTCCTCATCCAAGTTTGTAAGTTCTGCTCTTCAGTTCGATTTTGTATTCTTTCACTAACAGTCTTTTTTAGTCGAGGGTGAGCGTTCCCTGACCAAGGACAACAACCAGCTCGGCAAGTTCGAGCTCAACGGTATCCCTCCCGCCCCCCGTGGCGTTCCTCAGATTGAGGTCTCGTTCGACCTGGATGCCAACGGTATCCTGAAGGTTGGCGCCAGCGACAAGGGTACCGGTAAGGCCGAGTCCATCACCATCACCAACGACAAGGGTCGCCTGACCCAGGAGGAAATCGACCGCATGGTGGCCGAGGCCGAGCAGTTCGCCGAGGAGGACAAGGCCATCAAGTCGAAGATCGAGGCCCGCAACGGACTGGAGAACTATGCCTTCAGCCTGAAGAACCAGGTCAGCGACGAGAACGGACTGGGCGGCCAGATCGATGAGGATGACAAGCAGACCATCTTGGATGCCGTCAAGGAAGTGACCGACTGGCTCGACGACAACGCTGCCACTGCTACCACCGAGGACTTCGAGGAGCAGAAGGAGCAGCTGTCCAACGTTGCCTACCCCATCACCAGCAAGCTCTACGGCTCTGCCCCGGCTGATGAGGATGACGACGAGCCCATGGGTCATGATGAATTGTAAAATTAGCTTAGAGGGCAACTTTTTTTACCTTTTTTTTTTCTGGAGTTTTTTTTCTTATCTATCTGAGACATTATCTTTATAACTCGGTTTGGTCCGATATTGTGATTGAAAAGAATCGTTTAAGACGATGCCTGACACTGGGTATATCGGTGACAGGAATAGCTTGATACCTCATACAATTGACTGATTTGTTTGATTTGATTACAGTTGTAGATCGCATCACCCAACCGTGCAGTCTTCCTAACTAATTGGGATACACAATCTCAAACCCATGCAATAATATTTCAGTCTAAACACCCCCCTGCGCAATAAACTCCTGCACCACCTCCACCACAAGCTGATGATCATCCTCCTGCTTCAACCCACTAACAACCACCACGCCCACAACGCCATCCACCCCCTTAACCCGCACGGGAAACCCACCCCCATGAATCGCAAAGTCATCCGCCGCGCCTCCCCCACCCGTACTCGTCAGCGCATGCTTCTTCACAAACGCCGCCTCCACCTCCCCGCCACTCAGCCCCGTGCTCGCCAACATCTTCACACGCATCAACCAGCTCGACACGCCCCATCGCAGCACCGTGTTGCGCTTCCGACGCACCCACACCTCGTTGTCCGGGATCGTGCCGGGCTCGGTGGCGCTCTGGAAGACGACGTGCGGTTCCGAGCCGCCCGTTAGGGCGATTGAGATTAGGGCCGGTTTGCGTTGCGTGGGCGGGAGGGAGAGGATTCGGGAGCGCAGGGCGAGGCCGAGGGACCAGGCGGTTGTGGAGGTGAAGGTTGGGAAGATCACTGAGGCGGAGGATTCTTGGGCCGCGAGGTCGCGGGGCTAGAGGGTTCAAGTTAGTAGAGGTTCTTGATGAGGTGTGGGAGGAGGAGGTGGTGGATTGGATTTACATCTGTGCTGGCTGCGGCGAGGGGTTTGTCTTCCATTTTGTGAGATGTGTGTACGTATGTACTTTGGTTGGTGTGTAGATACTGAAAGGGAAGAAGGAGGAAGTATGGATGGTATTTGAAGAAAATGAGGAGGGAATTGAACCCTTAAGTATGAGGGAGGTGTGAATGTGGAGAAAAGAGCATGACGTCGACTCCACCGCGTCCGGCGGTTCCTTCGACTGGGCGGTTCAGATGGAGTGGATCGCTGGGAAAGAAGGAAGGTCCAAGACTGATGGAGCTTCGGCTATTGAAGAACAATGAAGAATGAGTGTCCGATGTTCTCCAGGTTTATTTGTGCCTGAGAAGACAGGCAGTCAAGTCATGTTACTTGTTTGGATCTGTTTGCTTCCCCTCATTTCGTTCTACATTTCCATCTTTTGTCTTTCTACACTTCTTTCTGTCCCTCTTCTCTCTCCACTTTCGATCGACCTACATATCCACATCCATGCGCCCCAAGCTCACTAAACGTGCCTGCGACGAGTGTATATCCCGCAAGGTAAAATGCAGCGGTGCCTGGCCCTGCCAAACCTGCCAGTACGCCGCGACCCGAGTGTCTTGCACATACTTGAGACCCGCGCGGCGACGGGGCCCCAAAGTGCGACGGCGTGCCGGTGGGGGCCAGTCGGACCCGGATGCGCTCGTATCGGCATCGGCGTCCTCCAACACTATGATCAGCAACAGTGCCGAGCCTGCCGAGAATCCTCAGACTCAAGAGGACTTGGAACCCGAACATGAGCACATCGCGGAAAATAGTTCCGGATTGACGAGCGATGACCCCTTGTGGAGGATTCCCCCATCGACGCTGATCTCCGTGGTGCGTCGGTTTCAGCAGTCCTCGTATAGCGTGTGGCCTGTTGTCAATGCGGAGGCGCTGCTGCGGACAATCGAATTAGGGCGGTATGATGTGAGCACGTATTGTCTGGCCACGGCATTATGTGCGGCGACGATGGCTCAACTGCAGCTGGGGCCCATTGGGAATGACGTTGTGGACTGTGGGGCCATGGCGACGGAATGTATGAGGCTGCGCGAAGAGACGGGGTATAGGGATCATCCGGACTTGAGGAGTGTGTTTGTTTCGTTCTTCCTGCATGTGTATCATGCGAAAATCAACCGGCGTAATTCGGCAATGATGTTCATACAAGAGGCGATTTCTGGCGCGAGGCTGTTGAGATTGGATTCAGATGATGCAGCGGGGGCGCGACGGAGTCCACAGGACGATGTTATCGAAAATGATGAGATTTTGTTCGTTTTATTGTGGGTTTCTGAGAGGTAAGTTTGTTGACTGATTGGCTGATCTAATTATTACGGTTGTATTGGCGTTGTTGAGAGCAAATGCTCATGCTTGTGCAGAGGCTATGCTATACACCTTGGTCTTGCGCCTTCTTATACCAATCCTATGGTGGTGCCGGACTTGCGAGGTGAACCTGGCAATGTCCATGTTCAAGGATTGGTCGAATTGGCCAGACTCTTCGCCACTTTTGATGCATTGTCGGTGCAGCGACGCACCGGAAAGATTGATCGTACTACAATTTCAGCCGATAGCCTAGCTGAGACTGAAGCTGCGTTGTCGATGCTCTCGCTCAGATGTCATTACGAAGCATCCTCGCGTGTGGCGGACCACTGCATCACGAAGGAATGGATGCGGACTATTGTCTGGCAGGAGGCACTATCGAGGCAATTGCTTTCCACCTCGGCGTACGCCGAGCTGATGACGTTCAAGTTCCCGGCGCTTGTCAGTCGCGATCTTTTGTATTCGCTGCGGAAGTTCACGGAATCCGATTTGCTGCCGTTGGGCCGTGATCAGGTAAGTTACTGACTGTAACAAAATTTGATGTAGCTGACTGGATATAGCTGTTGAAATGCTTCGAAGTGGCAAACTCGCTGGCAGATACCGTTCTGCTCACTTCTTCTTCATTGAACGTGTTGTCCTTTCAGTTGAGACCCGAGGACTATCTACATGCACTATATCAGAAGCTTCTTCCCTTCTTGGACCAAGACCCTATGCTGAAGTCAATTCTTTGCGCAAAGACTGCCGAAGCGCTGGTCCTGGCTCCTGCACGGCTACCAGAGTTTAGTTGGCAGGAAGATATGTTACAAGATGAGAACATTCTCGATGATTATTTGAACTCATACTTGGCTCAAAGCTAAGCTTCTTTCATCGCTCAAGCCAAAGCCCAGCCCGATCTTGTGTCATATTAGGACAAGTCATTTACTCTGAGACCTGAAGAACAACTCTTCCCGCTATGTCACCCCTTTCCATCTCCTCATATATCTGAGGGAGCTCTCTAAAAGGACGGACCTTGATAACCGGGTTGACTACCCCATGGCGAACCAGATCCACAGCTTCCATACATTCTTTCAGCGACCCGATGAGGCTTCCCGTGATCTTTAGACCTTTGATAACAATGGTGGCGATGGGGGTTTCTAGGGCTGGGCGTCCTGGCGGTATACCGACGCAGCTCAGCGTACCCCCGACACGCAACATGTCACACGCATGTGCAAATGCCTTCGCGCTGCCCGCTGTAACCACTACCGCATGGGCCCCGAGGCCGGTGATCTCGTGGACCCGCTGGGCGGGATCGGTGGATGTGAAGTCAATGAATTCCCTGGCCCCGAGGCTCAACACAAAGTCTCTTTTATCGCCAGCGTCTACCCCAATGACCAGAGCTCCTTGTGCTTTTGCGTATTGGACTACTTGGTTTAGCATTTTCCTTTAGACTGGGTGGGTGCTCTCACCTGCCAGATGGCCGAGGCCACCGCCAGCGCCTACTACTATCAGCCAGTTACCTGCGCGGATGTTGGTTTTCAAAACGGCCTGTACTCGGTCAGATTTAGTTTCCACGGTGAGGAAATCCCTTACTTTGTATGCAGTGACGCCAGCACATAGGACAGGACCCATGACCCTTGGGTCGATATCGTCCGGCAAGATTGTCAAGTAGTCCGCGTCAAGCGCAATATACTCTTGGAAACTGCCGTCTTCGTGGACCAGATGGTTGGTCCCTTTCACACAATGTTGCTCCATTCCAGCTAAACAGAAATCGCATCTCCGACAGATACGACTGGAGAAGCGAATGCCGACGAAGCTTCCGACTTTCAGATCTGATCCGCATCCAGGGCCCAGTGCCACAATTCGCCCTACACCTTCATGTCCACCGATGTGCGGGAGCTTATTGGTATGGGGCTTGCCATCTGCGCTTGCGGCGGTACCACTCTTGGTATGGAGATCTAGGCATCTGGGTCTTAGAAATTGTAGGTAGATAGATGCGAATCAGGCTTTCTCACCACTGTGGCAGACCCCCGTATATAGAACCTTTGCGAGTACTTCGTTCTGTCCGGGCGTGGGAACGGGGTAATCCTCGCGGAACTCGATGTCACCACCGAGCTCGTTAACCAGAGCTACAGTCTGGATTTTGGGGATTGGCTCGGGAGATTTGAAGTTCAAGACCATGATGAGTGTTTCTGGTTCTCAGTTATCGGGACTGGTTTCTTTTGCAAGTTGTCGAGGTCTGTTGCGACATAAATAGTGTGTTGTAGGCCCCTCGTGGGGGGATGTGTAACCTCCATAACCACGATGCTGTGCATATTTGTACAGTATCATGTCTTCCAGTCTTTTGACAATTCTCCAATTGGTCGCCAGGTGTTGAGGATGGCGAGGTGCAATTCTCCGAGATGCAAACAGACGGGAGTCAGCTGATGTGACACCTTTTGTCGAGGCCTTATCCGTCTTCCTTCCTTCTCCTTCCACTTGATTCTGTCATCGCCAACGTTAGCAACACACGAGATTAATGCCAAGTGTCCATCTCGTCATCGAGTCTACTTGTCTCCCCGCATTCCCCCGCTTCCATCGTGCCATCCCACGCCGTCCTTTCTCCGCGTTATTTCTCCGAGCCAATTCTCCGGATTCTGTGGTCGATCACCACTGCACTGGATATAAGTCGTGCTCTGTCTGTCTATAATGACTTCAAGCCTATTCAAAAATTGAACACACTGAAATAATTATACGATCGTCAATGTCAATAAATTAATCCTGTCCGCCACGCGGCTTCCAGCCACCCCTGCCAGCCTGCCGACTGCCCAGACTCTAAGTCCACCCCGCAAGATAAATAGCTCGGCATGATGAGCCCATTCTCCTGCTCGGTTGGCATCATGCGTTTAAGAATCTGCTCCTGCGGACGGCGCAGGCACACGATTGATGGAAATTCAGCCGCTAGTGACTGCCCAGCGACGGGAAGTCCATAATTGGGACAACTCCGGCGGGATAGCTCCGGCTGTCTATACCAGCCCTCCCGAGGAGCTATGTTTGGGATCTTTTCCTGAACTATAAGAAGCGAGAAAAATGGCATTGTGTCAAGACCTACCAGGCAATTGAGCAAAATGCGTTTTCTTCACCTCCTCACCCTGGCGCCCCTGGCGCTGGCCGCATCCATTCCCAAGGCCCGTATCCCGACCTACTCCCAAAACGTCATCTTCAGCCCACCGGAGAACTACACGATTCCGCGGACGCTGTACGCGCGCAACGAGCAATTGCCTAACGGTGATCTGCTCGCCACATGGGAGAACTACTCGCCTGAGCCGCCGGCCGTGTACTTCCCCATCTACCGGTCTAAGGACCACGGACAGACGTGGAAGGAGATCTCGCGGGTCCACGATACGGCTAATGGATTGGGACTGCGATACCAACCTTTCTTGTACTATCTGCCGGAGCGCGTGGGGAAGTACAAGAAGGGTACGTTGCTGTTGGCGGGAAGTAGCATCCCGACGGATCTGTCGTCGACACAGATCGATCTGTATGCGTCTCGGGACTCGGGCAAGACCTGGGAGTTCCTGAGCCATATCGCAGCGGGTGGAGAAGCGGTGCCGAATAATGGGTTGACGCCGGTGTGGGAGCCGTTCCTTTTGGCGCAGTATGTTCTTCCTCTTTTTTCTTGTTCGTGTCTCTCAAATTGGTCTAATACCGCGCAGCAAGGGCAAATTGATCGCCTACTATGCCGATCAAAGGGCCAACGAGACTCATGGTCAGAAAATGTCCCACCAGACGACGACGGACCTCAAGAACTGGAGTGCTCCTAAGGATGATGTGTAAGTTTTCACTCTTCTAGTCCAGATTCTCTTTCTAACAGTTTTTTAACACAGCTCCTACCCGACCTACACCGACCGACCTGGCATGCCTGTCGTAACCAAGGTAAACCACCAACTACTCCATCTACGAACCAAACTAACCCCCACAGCTCCCTAACGGCAAATACATGTTCGTTTACGAATACGGCTCCTTCTTCAACACCTCCTCCTACTCCTTCCCCATCTACTACCGCATCTCCGCCGACCCAGAGGACTTCGACTCGGCGCCGCACCAGCGTCTGGTCGTTTCTAGCGGCACAGTGCCGACCTCCTCGCCGTACGTCGTCTGGACCCCCTACGGCGGCAAGCACGGTACGATCATCGTCAGCGCGGGCACCCAGGACTCGATCTTCATCAACCAGAATCTGGGAGAGGGCGAGTGGACGGAGATTGCCACGCCGGAGGGACACAGCTACACGAGGTCGTTGAGAGTGTTGCGGGAGGATCCGTCCAAGCTGCTTCTTCATGGGGGAGGTGTGTTGCTGGGCGAGACGAACAAGGTGACGGTTAGTTTGATGGACTTGAAGAAGGCTTTTTGATACAGATATTGGAAGTATCTGGTATGGTATAGCATGAGCTATGGTGTGGTATATCGAGGATAAATCATCAAACCTCTGTCCCATACATGAATAGAATCAAAACACCGCCCATAGTTAAAAATCAAACAGCCTACCCAGCAGAACCAGAACAAACAGGAAACCCCACAAAGTAAATCAAACAGACACATCCTCCCTCAAATAAACCCTCGGCACCCCATCCTCCCCTGCATCCCCAAACTTCCCTCTCATCACATTGCCATTCCCATTCCCATTCCCATTCCTCCCACCCCCAGCACGACAACCACACCCACAGCCACAAGCACAGTCGCGATCCCCGTCCGCACCAACAACCACCACTCTCCTCCTCCTCTCCCGATCCCTATCCCCAACCCCACCACCACTCCGCCCCAAAGATCCGCCGCCACTCTCATCCCCACCCCTATCACCCGCCCACGGCCCGGACCTTTCCCGGGTATTATAATCCGCGAGGAAGATCTCGCCCGAGCGAGCGCGTTTCTGGATCCAGTAGGTGCGCATGCGATCGAGGGCGGTTTTGAAATCGTCGAGGATGACGATGTCGCAGAGACATTTGAATATGAAGGAGAGCTATTCCTTTCTAATATAGGTCCCCGGGATACATTAATATACCCGGGGGTGGGAGGGAGAGTGGAGTTAGTTATCAGTTATCAGGTATTCACCAGGTAAGTAGTAGTAGAGAAGGATAGATAGAAAGATAGAACGATATGATCAAAAGACTAACCTTCCAAAACGGCTCAATCCCCGTCGGAAGCCCCGAGCCCTCAAACGCATTCAACACGGCGCAGGTATCCACGATGATAAACGCGATGCTCAAACACATACTCGCCAACATAACCCCAAAACGAGGACTCACGGAGACGAGCTCCAGGATACCGAAGTTGTATTCGCGCTTGATGGTGTAGAAGAGGGAGATGGTGGTGAAGATCCACCAGGGGTCTCTTTTTCAGGTGCGAGAGGTTGCCCTTGTTGATCAGCCTGTGTTCACTTTTTTTCATGTTTCCAATTTGATCAGGATATCTCGAGAGATAGATATACAGTGTAGTATATCAAGAGAGCGAGGGAGAAGGAGCGGGAGGGAAGAATACCGAAACAGCGGCTCCCAAGGCCTCGTCTTCAGAAACACATTATTAAAATTATTAAAATACGCAAAATTAGCATAAATCTCCAGCACCCAGTACGGCTGCACCAAGAGGACAGTAATGATGTAGAAGCGGGACACGCGTCTCGACAAGAACGGCTTGTTCTTCATCCACGAGATGACGTTGTGCAGACTCCACGAGATGTTCAGCCCGATGGCGCTGACGGACAGATACCAGCCGTAGGTGGGGGGTTTGGCGAAGATGAAGGTCCCGTGGGGCATGGCGAGGATTAACTATTCCAGATCATGTTTAGGATTTGATTTGCTTGTTTATTTGGGGATTGGGCAGTGTATGTATGTGTATGCAGTAGAGGTCAGAGTGCAATGGGCAATCAAGAAAAAAAAAAAAAAAGAAGAAGAAGAGGGAGCAAACTTCAGCAAAAATCAACTTATGCAGCAGAATGCGTCGCTTCATGTTGGAGAACGTCAAGGCCGCCATGACCACCAGCGATCCTACCATTAGACCCTGACCCCAGGCTTCGAGCACCAGACCGTCCGGGTCACTGGGTCGCGCGTTGGGGTTTCCTGCAGCCATTCGAAGTTGAATAGAAGGTATAGATTTATGAATGGACCTGGTTTATTGCTGTCTTATCGCATGTTTATAGACATGATTGAGGCATGGGGAATGATAATTGAAGGATGTGAAGGAAAGCAGATCAGCAGAAGTCCATCATTTAGCGCAGAAAAGACAGGCAGACGGACAGACAGGCTGGTAAGATTGGCGCCAGAGCCAAGACGATGATCTAATAAATCCCCGAGTTATATAGCGCCGACCAACGGCAATAAGGCAAAAAGTAGCCCAGGAGAAAGAAGAAAAGAAATAAACCAAGCTAGTTAGAAGACACGTCGGCGATCACACGAGTTTTCGGAGAGTTTAACGTCTGACCGCGCAAAAATCCGGAGAAAGAAAATGCGGAGAAAAGAAGCGGAGATTGAGGCCAATGGAGGTCGCCAGATGGACTGGGAATGTTAGGGCTAGCGCGGACGTGTGTAACGTCCAGCACAAAGACGAGCGGAGCTCATCCTTGGTTTCTTTATGTCGGAGTCTGAACGCCAGACTTCCCCTGTTTCTCCCCGCTCCTACTTCCGGTCCAGGCCTCCCTGTTCTTCCTGGAGTTTGTCGGGTTGCGGCTCGCCACCAAAGACTTCCTGCATTTCTTCGAGAGAATGTTGCGATGTCTGATATGTGTGTTAGCGAGGCAGAACATACTCTCGACCCTGACGAGCAATTGACATACCTCCTTCAAGAAGAACCACGAGTACACTATCACCGCATAGTTGAAGATGGCAAACATTAAGAACATCCGCCACCCTATATTGTCAATCGCATGAGGTGTCACCTGAGACATCATGAAATTGAAAAGCCACTGGGAGGCGGCTCCTACCGCCACGCCGATTTCTCGTGTACGACTCGAGAAGATCTCGCCCACGTACAGCCAGGGCAAAGGCCCCCAGGACATGTTGAAGCTAAACGCCTCCGCGTAGGTCATGATGATCATGGCGATTCCCGCCTTAGTGGCCCCGGACTGCTCCCCGCTAGCGCTGGTCGGATGCGTGGCCAGAACGCAGGCGATGATGAGCATGAATGACCCCATGGCGAAGGCACCCGCCATGAACGGCACGCGTCGGCCAATGCGATCCATCACAAAGAGCTGGAATATGCTGACCCCGACTACTTTCACCACTCCGAAGAACCCCGTCACCAGCTTGGCGGAGCTGCCGGCGCCGACGGCCGAGAAGATCTGGTTGGCATAATAGGCTAGTGAGGTGTTGCCGGTCAGCTGTGCGCAGAGCTGAATGGTGACGGCGATGAACAATCGGTACCGGTTCACAGGGAGGAAGAGCTCGCGGAATGTCAGATTTTCTCGAACTCGTGCCTCCTCCTCGATGCCTGCAAGAATCTCGTCAAATTCCTGCCGTAGCTCCTCCGTATCCTCGCCACCTCGGACCCATTTTAGCGACTCCCACGCCTTGTCGGTTTTTCCTTTGCCCGCCAGCCATCGAGCACTCTCTTTGACCGTGCACATCCCTGCCAACAGCAGAGTCGAGGGCAGCAGTTGCAGTCCCAGCGCAATCTGCCACTGCTTCGTAGCGGAAGGCTGATTCTTCGATACGGCAAACGTAACCCAATATGCGATCATGACGCCCATTGCGAAGAACAGCTGGAAGCAAGCACCTAATCGACCACGAATCTCTTTCGGAGACATCTCCGCCGCGTACATGGGAATCAACACGGTTGCCGCACCGATGCCCACGCCAGCAATGACCCGTCCCGCGTAGAAGGTGCCGAGGGTATGCGCATTGATGACTTGCAAGATGGTCCCGACGGTGAATATCAAGGAGCTGAGAATGAGACCCGACCGACGACCCAGTCTCGATGCGATGGGCATCGTGAAGAAGCAGCCGAAGAATGCGCCCGCTTGTAGGATCGACACGGCGTTGGAATTGACCGAGGTCTGCTGTTTGGAGCCGTATCGGAAATCATTTTGGAAGGACTCCAGAGTCAGAACACCGCCTATATGATGTCAGTGCCTGTAGGGATAGATAATGCAGTGAAGAACGACGGCCATACTGATAACGCCCGTATCGAAAGCAAAGGCGAACGATCCCATACAACTGGCGGATACCAGGTAAATGGCCCGGAAGAGGCCCAATCGTCGACCCATCTCGTATACACACCTCAAATCCCGAATAGTCTAAGTATAAAACAAGAAATAAAGTCAAGACTGGCCAAGCCCGGTAGACCAAGGCTTTATTTAACCCAACACAGCCCAAAAAAAGCAATGAAGACCGGCCCTGTCGTTGCGTGCTGACAATGAAGATTCGAACTAGTCGAGACTCCGTCCACGCGTTCTTTCTCCATCCAAACACAAGGAGTACCTATGATGTATGGAGCGAGAGAAATAGAAAGAAGCTTGCGGGGACATCAAACCACAGTCTTTTCTCTTTCTCTCCCCGTTTCCCCACCGCGAGATTAAATCCAACAGCCGACGTAAGTAACCTTTCGGACAAGCAATCAGCGACCGCAGACAGGGATTATGCGGCACGGTCGGTCATCAGGCAGAGAGACCGGTCAGTCGTAGCGCAGCCAAGAGAGTCTAAGCACGACGATCAGGCTGGGGAAATCAGCAGGCTTCGTTGGCCATGGATGTGCAACTCATAGTCGGGATGGCGTGATGGGCGTCGGAGAATTGACACGGTTCAAAGGGCCATTCGGAGTTGCGACCGACTCTAGATGAGTTGTTGGGACTGGAAGGATCTGGACACCGTGGATTTGGACATCTTGTCAATTTTTGCTCTCTTTGGGGGTTCGGATGGGATGAGTCCAAGTCGAGAATCGCATTCGGCGATGCGGTCGAAGAGATCGACGGCACGACATCCGCATGCGGAAAGTCGGGGTCCCCGCAAATTCTATACTACAATGAAGCCCACTACTGTCTATTTCGAATGGGATATATGCGTGCAATCTCAAGGAGCTTCATTTTGTGGGCATGATGGGCATATTCAACTTGCGTTGGTTGAAATGGATTATGAAGTGAGGAGGGCGTAAAGGGAGACGCAAACTACAGCAATAATTACACGGACTGAAGGCAGTGAAATGAATGGAAGGAAAAGTACTCTTGATCATTACTACACTAATTGATTGATTGATTGATATAGAACTGATTGAGGTCTTCTGGAGCGTTGCCTCTCTAGAAAGTGCATTGGAGGGGAAGTAAATGATCTTAGATTGTTCTACTCTCCGAGTGGATTATCGCAAATCGACAGATATCCTATAAACATGGCAACGTTCAGCAATTAGTATACTCAAGCTACATACGTCATGACCTCAAAGTCTTGACATTCCACCACGACACCTTATATATACTCTCTTTCTTATACCTGGCCTTATAAGCAAGTTCCTCACAATCTGGCCAAACTATCTATGTATATTAGGTTTCATCTAGGAATAACTTTCTGGTGCAATCCTATTGATGGCTCTGCACAATTAAGTTAACATGATGTATTAGGAGTGTAATCTAGACCGAACACATGTGCCATTGAAGTGATTGATGTCATGGATTTAATTGATTTCTTATCATATTTCATAGAGCAAATACAACAGGTATAATAAGATATGACATCAAGACTAAAGATTAAGTAGCAAGCTGTTAAGGCTGGTAGGTCTGCTTATAAAAGAGTCCAGGCGCCCAACCCTAGTCGTCTTAGTGCAACACGAGTTATCCATATTTCTTTACTTATAGTACGGAATACTACTTTTTGATAAGTCCAATAATGGATGCTGACACTTTTCTTAAAGTCCTCAGCCAGATAGAGGTACGCTAACCTTTTAGTCCTAAATAGCTTCGCCTAATATACAAGAAATTATACAGCCATTTCCTGTATCAGACTTCCTCAATCGTTTGTATAACAAGGCAACCCATTCTGCCAATATACAAACTTTTCAGTCTGGTTTGAAGCCAAGGCCAAGTTATGGAGAAGACCCTGATAGCCTCCGCCTCGACGGCGTAGATGCAAGCAAATCTCTTGACCTTCTGGCCGAATTGGCTACAGCAAAGGGCCTGTCTCGACTCAACCCGGAGACTGACAAGCATGGCCTTCGAAAAAGCGTCAATTTGGTTAGTTCTGCTGAAAGCAATACTCCAAACTCGAGGGTACCCTCTGATGATAAAAACGCAGGCAGGAGTGGACAGTGAGGCCAACCGTGCCTTCTCTGACGTATCCACATTGCTTTATTCGGAGCATATTAACTGGGGTTTGAGGAAAAGAAAATGTCCCGACATGAGACAGCTGAGGGCTGATCGCGATTTCGTTTCTACCTTGGAAAAGAAACTGAGGGAAGAACATTTTATTCATGGGGTTGTACGAATGGATCTTCTGAATAAGGATCACAGGTACACCATGGCCCTCTTGTTCACTTATGACTATGTGGTACATGGACCAGGCTTCCCCCCACATTATGGAACAAGTTTTGCCAGTGCTGCCAGCGGAGGACTACTGAAGAAGTGGGCTCCGATGCTTCTGAGAGACCAGAACCCGCGGGTGGCGTTGAATCTTGCGAAAGCTACGTCCCTACTCCATGCGGTACCGGATTCAGCAGGCAAAATTCGTCTTATTACGGGGCCTGATCAATTCAACGCTTTGGTTCTGGCAGATGTTGTGCAAGCCTCCAATGCCCCTAGCCTGGATAAGCTCCGCAGAATTGATCAGGGCGACTGGAAGTCACTTGCGAGTGAGACCAAGTCGCTCTGGGCTGATACAGAAACAGACTGGCTGAAGCTATTGTAACTGCAGCCACTAAATCTACAACCAAGAGTCACAGGATTGACAATGCCGGTCAGACTTTTGGTGAAGGAATATTGACGGGATTCACACTGGGTATGGAAGACCACCAGACCTGGGAACGGATCACAACTACTGGCTCAGATGTTGCAATCTGGATTGAGGATGGTAAGTGTATAATCCGTGCTGCATCATTTCAACACACCTGTCACTCTCCCTTTATGCGCGTTTTCTACCGAGCTGGTCACCTCTGAGAGAGTTGCTAGGTTTCCATCGGTATGGATCACTCTTCTCCAATGGTCCACCAACTACAGTCGATCGCGAAACCTACCACATCGATGGGCCCGTCCACTCCGGCTGCTTTGTGGCGGGAACCAAGATTGCCATTCATGGCGGTACAGTGCCTGTCGAGAATCTGTCGGAAGGCATAAGTGTGCTTACACATGCGGATCCTCTAACATATGGCATTACCTCGGATGAAGATGTTCGCACATCGCTTGGCCCGGGTATGATATGTGGCATAAGTACGTATAATCTATCTGTTTACCTTGATTTTCACGCATTCCTCTATTTGTCGACCTACCTGTCCTCGCCGCTGCATCACTACGTGTGCTGTTGTTTGCATTAACGAAGATTTGTAGATGGAGAAACGCCCTTTTTCTCTCCTAGTCATATATTCTATACAGTAGCGGGGCCCAGGGCTCTAGACCCAGATTCTGCAAGACTCGAGAATCCCTGGCAAGATGTGGGTCGTCTAGAAGTGGGCCATATTCTCTACCGGATTTCTGAAGACGGTAAAGGGTACGAACATGTTGAGGTGGAGTCAATCCATACGGAACCTGTTCAAGAATTGCAGCTCTATGGGGTTCATCTTCGGGAGGGCCACAGAAGCTATCACGCAAATGGCTATTTGGTTGGCTTGAACTACCCAGAGGTATTCCTCCATACCCATGCAAAATGTCAGGGGCTCCTAATCCAGGTTATTCTAGATCACAAGAAAATCAATCACAAAGCTCTTGAGGACATTCCCCAAGCACGAGCGGATAGTATTGCTCAATCGTATACATGAGCTGAAACCGCTTTTTGAACGCTTTGGAGCAAAGACACTCTCAGATGTGCTTGACCAGGAGCTTCGGGGTAACAGAACCGGCAGTACCTGCGACATTGCCACACCACGGAAGAGGCGAAGCGCAATGCCTTCTCTACGAAGGGCAAAACGAGCTTTTGCCTTACACAGAACTGGAAGTTTCAACGTTGTCAATTACGAACTCCCAATTCTTTCTTTGCATGAAGGGGTGGTGTGCCTTGATGACGAGGCCCAGCATCGAGCTATAATCGAATCCGACGACCGAACCATAAGATGGACACGACATGTTCCCGGCCACGGCTACGAACACGGATTTGTAAGATTACACTATTTAGGTCTCTCGGGCAATGGAGTCATCTTGTTATCCAATGACTCGGAACCTACAGCGAGTTCTGCCAGTGAACCAGGTGCTAGGCTGATCCAATTCCTGCTCGCGAAGCCTCGCTCAAACCCGTTCGGATCGCCCCACAAACTTAGCCAGCTATCGCAGACAAGTCATGAGCGAGTAGCAGCATTGCACACGAATAAGGCGCAAAGATACTTTGCTGCAAACTCCAATTATATTGACGGTCTGGACAAGTGGCAGCTATCTATTGACAGAGACATATGGGCCCCCAAAACCGACAAGAATTCTGCCTCAGCTCCAATGCCGCTGGGGGAGGTTGCGTTTGCTAGCTATCATGAAGGACAACGTGGCCAGTCCATTCCTATTCTTACAATGCCGATGCTTGACCAGCTATGCGAAGATATTAACAAGAACTATCTGGCAGGTCAAAACCACTTGTCGTCCCTGTATAAATCCTATGTGCGCATGGCAAGTAACGGGTTACAACAGGGAACCATCATACTTGAGCATGTAGCACTTCTTCAGGACCTGGCAGACAAACCAGCCGGCAGCTCAGAGCCGCCCAAGTTTAACGTTAGTTTCAAGCAGAAGCTAGGTAGTTCTGTTGTCCTCCCCATTTTTTTTCGGACACTTGCCGTTGAGCTCTCAGCCGGCTTTGATTTTGCAAGAGGTGCAGCGTTAGAATTTGATCCCTCTAAGAGAGGCGGTAATGGGGCCAGGTATGTTTCCTACCAACACTCGTATCATTATATTGATTGATCAAATGGCTTAACACAACCAACCTTGTGATCTAGGCATTTTGTACAAGATTCGCCTCTTGAAAACTCGAAGTTTGCGCTTGCAGACCTCAATTACACACGAAAGATTTCACACTCACTCTCAAGATCCAGACTCAAACCCAGCATATACTCATCAGGCAATCATGCCAATCCAGCAACAGTAACAGGCCACCTGCTTGAGCAGCGGCAGACCACGATTGATGACCTTCTGAGTATTGATTACAATTCGGTAGCTGTATGTTGACCCCCTACGCACCAGATAGAGGGTACCGCCCACGGACAAGGCCGATTATTATACTTTCACAGAATTCTGAGCTTTTTATAGATTCATTCCAAGACTCAATCACTCGTCCAAGATATGATGCAGTATCATATGAATGACGATGATCGGCTGAGGTTTCTCCAGATCGCGAAGCCGGCAAATCTGCCCATTGAGCTCGCTGATAACCTTAAGTCAGATCTCAAGGAATGGATAAGAACCAAATATGCCCCCGCACATATTGATCTAATGCTCTCACGCGTCAAGGAGAAGGATGTCAGCTGGCGTAATAACTTTTCCGATAAGCAGAAGGAAAAAATCTGGTATTGGTGGAATGGAAAGGTGTGTGGGATATTCAGCTTAACCGACTCTCTGCCTTGATACTAATTGTGGGCACCGACACATTAGGGGAAAAATTTGTCTCGCTATGTCATCAGAGTATAACAAGGTCAATGCATTGGCATCAGTATATGCCATGCGTGAACTTTACAAAAACACATTGGAAGCGTATATCGAGTCTGGGCCAGAGGAATGGGCTGAGCACCTTTTCAAAAGCCTTTCGACCAATGCACACGCTATGCGACATGTTGTCAACACACCTATTCAAAGTGTGAGTAACTTTGTTTCCTTTTGAAGGACTCTGGATTTTGGATGTTGATGAGATACCACGTGTAGGGAGAGAATATACTCAACAAGTTCTGCAACATCCTTCATTGTTTGGACCCTGAAGGACCTTGGGTAGAGAAATTTTTTGATGCAATTATCACCTTTGCTATCCAGGCTAATCTCTCTAACCCTGAAAGTGTGCAACAAGACCTTGAAGACGCGAAAATAAAACAATCTTGGCTGGAGGATGGATTGAAAGACCTCATTCAGAAGGTCCTCAGCAACGACCCAAGCCTCCCTTCAAATGTCACCAATGAGCTTCGAGAAGACCTAACAAACTTGATGAAACAGGAGGGCATAGACCAGAATCAGAATGCGGAGCTACTTTCAAAACTGGTTGCTGAAGAATATGCCGCCATGGTCGTGAATTTAAGCATGCACCTAAGCTACCTTGGTCAAGCAATAAAATCGATCTCTTCCACATGTGGCTGGAAATTTGCAACTACATGCGTGAATAAAGTCATCGGCTGGATTGGCAAAAAGACTGCGGTCTTCCTTAAGGGAGCAATGATAATGGTGGTGGTATGTCTAACCTCTTGAGCAATATGCTGGGGCCGATGAAAACCAAACCCTTACGCTAATACTGGTAAATAACTAGGCGGGCTTATTCATCTTCAGTGCTCAGGCTACATTCTCCAAGTGGTCAACACTCACAGGGGCGGAGCGAGCAGCAGTCATCAGTGAGACTATCATCTTCGTCACCACCATCGTCTCTCCGGTAATGGGGACCTTCAAGACTGTCAAAAAATGGTTTGCAAAGGACACGGAGACAACTGGCGACCTGACCACACAAGAAAGTGCGTCAGCAACGGCCCTGGATGAGTCCCAAGAAATTACGATGAATTCGGAAACGGGAGTCAAGGCTATGGAGAACATCAGCAGTGCCGGGGGTGAAGAGTTGCGGGAGTCGTACGCTGAGTTGGTTACTGATGGGCAGCCCACGGCGAGTTCAGAAATTGCAGAAAACACTATCCAGAGTCTGGAGCCAGAGCAGCCCATCACTGCCATAAATCCTCCGCCAAATGTGCCCCCCTCAGCGAAACCACAGTGGCGGAAGTACCTTACCAGCGATACTGTGATTAGATCCATCAACGTCTGCGCAGAGATTGCCTTCACTGTCTCGTCGGCTATTATTCTGGCCAAAAACTGGGATAACTTGAAGGACGTGGGTAAAGCTCTCAACGTCATCCAGGTGGTAACACAAGGGCTGCAAGTTCTGGTCGACGCCAGTATCCTGGTGACGGATGCGATGGTCACTGCCGGTATGGTCGCTGCAGATGGTGCCATGGTCGTAGCATTACCAGTGGTTGGCGCAGTTCTAGCCATAATCGGAATTGTTGTCATGCTGGTACTTGCATTCCTCGATGCCACAAAACACAAAGAGCCTCCCCCAACTCCAGTTGAGAAGTACCTGGACAGGGAACGCCCACGGGTGGATTCTGACTTGGATACTCCTCCTCAAATCCAACTGCATTACACCATACCGGGAGAACTCCGCGCCGGCTCTAAAGCCCCCCTGGTTATGGCCGCAGAAAATAGAACTTCGAAGACCATCGAACTGGCTAATGTGGCCGTGGTTGTGGAAGTTGGTGACGATGACGCTGCGCTGTTTTCAGGCCCGGTATCCGACTGGAAAATGGCAGCATCTGAGATCGAATTATCAGCGCTTGAACAAGGTACAGCGGGGGTAAGCCCCAGCTCGCTGACCACTGGCAACATCATTTCTCAGACCATAGACAACAACCACCACTTGACCGAATACAATTTGCGAATTCTGGGACCCGGAAAGGACGGAGCAAGCACTCCGCTCACTTTGGAGAAAGGGAAGAGTATACAGTTTGGCTTATCGGGGACCATTAACAAGACCAAATCCGTGGTCTTGAAGGTTATGGAGAACCAGAGAAACGGGGATAAATGCCGCAGCATGCATCGGATTGCGATTGAATAAGGTATCTTCTTCGTTATTGACGTGCGGTATATAATTGCCGCATAGTTCATAGGTGTGAGCTAGGGAGATTTGGCTACTTTGTGGGCCTCAGGTAGGACCCTAAGGCCGGAATCAGTCAATCAATCAATTGATATAGTAAATCCGAGTAGTTCTCTGTCTAGGATAGAAAGTAGTAAGGACTAGCTATCGGTACGCATTAAGCTCTCACGGCCAAAGCAAGGAAAGAAGTTCAGAATCCAAAGCAAGATCAGTTGTCTTCATCTTCGTAGCGGTAGCCATAGAGATGCATATACTCCCGATAATTGGACTCCACGTCCATATCGTACTGCACGTCCATCAGATCCGCGGGGACCATGCGTCGGAAGACATGGTGCCCCGGCCTCAGCGGCGGTCTCTCCGGTCGGCGGTCTCTCTCAATCACGAAATTATACAGACTCACCAGCGCCACGTGCATGTCCATTAGAACAGCCTCGAAGGCGCGGTTATAATCCTCAATTATATGGGGATTGGTCGTAGAGATCTCCCAGTAGTATCTGTGGAATTCGAAAAAAGAACTGTCATTCTGCGTGAGAGCCGACCTGACCCACTCGGCACGAAGTCCATGACGGTTAGCATCACAGGGGTAGTTCCAGAAGCACTTTTGTGAGTGGAGCCAATGGTTTATTGTCCGAGAGGCTTTCAGGTAGTTTCCCCCGTAAGCCGGGACCGCGAGGGGCATATCCTCCATGAGATACTGCACGTCATTCTGATAAAACCTCATGTAGAGGCTCTTGATTTGCTGTAATGCTTCAGAAGAACGACACATTATTCCATAGCCTGGCCGGAAGGATGGCCTTTTAAACACGCCACGGCCCGTGTACGCATAATTTCGAATGAATAACCCCTCAGTCTCGAATGCTCGATGGAGGATCCGAAAGACAAGCGTGGCTTTGACCACAAGCCAAAACATGTATCGGGGAAACCTGCGATTCGGCTCTTGGGCAATCACCTCCAGCAGCTGGAGTCGCCAAAACGGAAAGTTTGCAAATCCTCTAGAATGCAGTTCGAACGGGTCGTTGATATGCCAGAAAGCAGATTTCACAATCTCCTTCTTCCCTGGCCACTCTTGTCCAAAACACCGGTAGATGATTGTGACCCATTTGGCATTCTCGGGGCAAAAGTCGAGGGTTAACATCGACTTCTTGTACAACAGCGCTATTACCTCGTCGTGGAGAATTCTGCTGGCTCGTAGTATACTCAACTTCCCGTATCGATGAGCTGGCTCTGACATATCGGTCTTGCCTCGGGGCATCAATTTCTTCCATATTATCGCGCGTACTTCCTCAGGAAGAGGTTCGAAAACTCCCAAGCCTAGTTGCTTGGTCAGATCTGGGTCCGCTTCGTTCATTGTTGTCTTTGGTGGAATTGCAATTGGGTGTTGCTCTGAAAATAGAAAGGTTCTAGGAGAGGCGATTTGCCGAAAAGGAAAGCACGGAAGTAGTGATGATCGACACAGGTAACGAAGGAAGATAATGATTCAGTAAATGTTGGGTTGATATCTGCATGGAAAAGTAATAGTTGTCCCGTTGAAGACCTGCTATTCTATCCTCTCAAGGCCACTAGCTTTACTCCTGACTACCTGGTACCTACCTGCCTAGTACGTACTGATGTCAGGGAAGGCATGAGGGAAGCAGTTCCTCGATCTGTTCTCGACGTCAACAAAAGGACGTCCACCATAAGAACATTAAATCCGGATTCCTTGAGGCGACATTGTCTAAAGAGACAGCTGGTAGTATAGTATCTTATATATCCCTATTAGGTCTTCTATAGGTGGTAGGAGCCGTAGTCTGTTGCTTATCTTGCTTCTTTCAGTTAGTTTTGCGTTTAAGGTTCGCGAGTTCTTTGGGGTCTTTAGGCTCTCTCGAGGCACCTATTCGCTCTTTAGGGGGCTTATTTGTTGGAGTTCATGGTGTATATAGGGCTAGGAGTTGCGAGACCTTGATAGCAATTCATGGGGATGGTATAGCTAAATTCGATCGAAGAGCAGGAGAATATCCTAGGTTTCTTGCCCCTTAGTTCGCCCTCTGGATTATAATCAGGGCACAATCCAGCGGGGTAGATCATTCCAACAACTCAGTTATAAAAACGAGGGCGCGTCTGACTTGGGCGATATGATTGAAGGAACAAGTGGCATTTCAAAATGAGCTGACATCTACAACTTGCCAATCTTGTGAGAGAAATGAAGATGCCTAGTCGCATCATCAGATGGGACTAGGCACCAGAAGAGGAGGTGAGCGACAACGCGAAAGATATCAACAGGGAAGTATATCGTTGAAGTCGGATATTATTGGCTTTGCTGCGATATTAACCTTCCGCGGCTTCCAATCAATCACTGCCCAAGAAACAAGGCGGGGAGGCGATGTTGTCCAAGAGTGGCTGGCTGAACCTCTGGGCTTTCGCATATTTTCTTCTCATTTCCTTTTGGCATGTGTCTCCGGAGTGGTCCTGTTGATATAAATTAGCTATATTTCCAGCCTCTCTCATTATTCATGTTCCCAATGGTCATGGGATATAGCAGATTTATTTTGACCCTGTTTTCTCGAGTAGTGCATCACTCTGATACAACGCATCCAAGTCCGGCCGATGGCATGGCTTTGGAGGGGAATAGATGTTCTAGATCCCGGATATTATTAGCATGGAGCTAGGATAAAACCACATACGACTCCACCGTTCGCCATTTCGACTCCACGTGGACGTGCTTTCATGGGGCTGAGAAAATTCACACTGAGCACCGACTGGACGATACAAAATAAATCGAGCACTCATGCGCTTCTGTGAACGCCTCGGCCAAAATTACCACCACTGGCCTTCTCTGGAGGGAATTCTATCAATGCGAGAGACGTGTGCAAGCCACCATTTGTGCCAAGGACGCTCAGTTTGGAACCCTCAAAGGATATGTCAGAGTCGGATAGGATCTCTACTCAGCTAGCCTCACGAGTGCAGGGTACCCCAGGCCTTCAGGGATGTTAGATTCAAAGGGATATCTGAGCCATCTGCCACGTCGAGCAAGCCACAGCGTCTCGAATCGGTGACATTGACTGTCGAACAAGTTGCCAAGCAGTAACGCAGCCCTATGCTCGTGGGTGCACCAGTTCGTAATGTTGCATCGCAGCCCCAGTTCTCGCAGCCCCGACCTGCACGAACTCTGGAGAGTCAAAGCAACATTCCATGCCCTGCTGTGTCACGATTTGCACTTGTGTTTCCCAACTGGGCGAGGTACATCGATAAGCTTAAATCTTATTGGGGCTGATTAGATGTGGTCGCACAACTTCTCTGCATTTATACTTTTAGGGAACTTTGGGGTATGTCATTGTACAAAGCTTTCAATCACATTTATGTCATACTGAAATAGGTCCTTTCACTTAGTCGGCAACGCTACCCTATAACCTTTGGCTGATGCCCCTAGTCTCCAATAGGAAGGCCTAAGAAAGCAGAGAAACTCGACATTTCGAGTAAGAATGTAAGCATGTGAGGAGACAAAGATGACCGACTGATTGAATCGCCACCTCGCCTAATCTTTCTCTTTATTATCATCGTCTGCCCCGTTCCTAATATATTGATCCACTTGAGGCAGCTTCCAGAAAGAGAAGTATACCGACCAAACATGCTTCGTGCCACGTCGTTCTGCCTCGGACCTGCAAGTCCAGGAAAGTTCCGCTTGCTGCCTATACGAGCTATCCACTCCCACCATCCTTCTTCCATGTGACGTTGGGAAATGGGGGATTAAAATGCACCAAGTTCCAAGTCTATACTGACTTGGACTCTTCTCCTGTCATTATCCCCAAGAAATTTTGTCTATATTGTCCACTATCATCATGCACCAAATTGACTTCGATGAGCAAGCCCTCAACGGTCTTGCCTCAAAGACTGTCATCGTCACCGGCGGAGCAGGCGGCATTGGCTCTGCGACTGCCAGGATCTTCAATGAGCATGGCGCAAATGTAGTCATTGCTGATGTCCCGTCCACTCAGCCTCTCGCGGAGAAGCTGATTGCCTCACTTCCACACCCTTCACGCGCGATGTACGTGCCAGTAGATATCGTCGATTGGGAACAGATGCAGGGTCTGTTTAAGCGGGCTGTGAAACGGTTTGGTTCTATCGATACAGTTGTGGCGAATGCTGGGATCATGGAGTCCAAGAGTGTCCTTGAGCTAGATGAGATAGATGAGAATGGGGAGTTGATGGAGTCTAAGGAAGCGTTCGAGGTTATTGACGTTAACGTGAAAGGGACATTCAACAGTATGTGGCTTTCCCCCCCCCCCCTTCTCTCTTATTGTTGCCATGATCTAATTGCTAATTATTGGCCTCAGCACTGAGGCTGGCCATGCATTACATGAAGTCTCTTCCAGGAACTTCAGAGCCTAAATCTATTATCATGGTCTCCTCAATCGCGGGCTACTTTGGCGGAGCCGATTTAGCAGCCTATACCACATCCAAGCACGCGATCATCGGCCTCCTCCGCGATGCACACAAAGCAGCAACGAAGAACAACATACGTCTCACGGCCATCGCGCCTTCCTTGACCCCTTCGCGTCTGACAGCCGGCTTGCTCGAGCCATGGAAGAAAGCTGGATACGAGACGAACAAGCCACAGTCAATGGGGGAGGCGATTGCGCAGTGCTCGGTCGATAAATCGATCGTTAGCGGGAGCTGTATTTTAGTATGTCCTATCCAGTATTGCTCTCTTCAATTTCCGGCTGTGGTTTGACTAACGAAGTATACAGGTCGCTCAGAAATTTCGACGCGAGCTGGAATTGACCAGAGCTGGTCTGATGGGTCAGTGGATGGGAGAAGATGCGTTGGGACTTGTGGCAGGGGACTTTGCGTTCGTCATTGGTATTGGGGGATATCCACTTCCTGAGAGGCTGAATCGACTCAGAAACTAGCTCTAATGTCAATCTAAAGTAATCAGTCAAAAGCATTTCCAGAACCAAAGCATTCTCTCATTTGTCTACTTTCCCAATTCTCATCACCTCCGATATACCGAAAGCCCACCCTCAAGTCTCGATTCCATCGATTCGAATTCTTCGCAGGCCCTTTACAGGCCTGCGGCTTAGACTCGCCAAGAATGAGGTTATATCCCGCCCTCTCCTCTATATCCAAGCAAACATTCAGTAGCAGAGCGCCTAACAGCAGCTTCTGTCTGCGGTGTGACGTAAAGAGATCGCATAGATACTGTAGCAAAGCAAGAGGCAAGGACGCATCCTGCTTAACTTGTTTTAATGAGACCAGATGGGATGAAACTAGCAGGTTCGTTGAACAGGTAGCCAGTACGCACAAGGTATGCTGAATTCTACAGTGTTCTCATAAACATTCAACATCACACTTAAGTTCTATGAGCGTAGTAAGTCAATACAGGATATAATTTCTAATGTAGATATCTCTGAAATGGCATTTCCTGCTGGTGGTCTGTTCTCCGCCAACATCCATCTACCTTACTAACCAGCACTAGGTCCAACTAAATCCCGGGGTATAAAGACAGCTGACTTTCGGCCCCCAGCCTTGTTTGTTGGTTTTGATACCCCTCCTTTTTCGCCTTTTTGTATCATTTCACGGTTGATTTCGTTCTAATCTCTTCATCGGCAGAATGGTCTCGACTACATTCCCCCTTCCCGGCGTCACCCACGGCAAACGCATCCTCGCCAGCGTTATTGAATCTCGCGCCCAAGACGGCCCTAGCACTAATCCCTGGATCTCGCTGCCTGTCAACAACGACGATCTCTCCGCTGGCTTCCGAGACATCAGCTTCTGGCAGTTAAACAACGCCGCGAACCACGCTGCCCGCTGGCTCAGTCAAGCTCTTCCGGCCACGACCGAGCCGTTTCAATGTTTTGCCTACTCTGGGCCCAAGGATCTGCGATATGCCATTCTTGCCGTTGCGGCGGCGAAGGTGCAGAAAGTGGTATGTGTAGTCTATCCCCTTGGCATTGGTCTTTTAATAAAGTCAAGAAATGAATTGTTAAGTATTAGATGGTTCTTCCTTCGCCGTTGATCACGCCAGAGGCGCAGGTACGGATTCTGGAGAAGAAGAGCTGTAAATTGTATTTGAGGCCGGTGGAGATGGCCGCGCCCGTAGATACAATCCTGAAGACGGTCTCGGATGTGGAAACAATCACTGTTCCGAATACCGAAGAGTTTCTGAGAGATGAGGAGGCCGCGCCCGTAGTTTACGGGAAGACATGGGAAGAGGGAAAGGATGATCCGTGGATGGTGTTTCATACTTCTGGCACCACAGGTATGTACTTTTCGTTCTCTTGCTGATCTGAAAGCGATATAGCTGACTGTGGAAAGGGAACCCGAAGCCAATCACCTATACGCATCAGATGATGGCCGGTGCCGACACCGCGGCCTCTCTGCCGGATATTGAGGAAACTCATATTCATCAGTATGCTCAACGCAGATGGTACACGCCTTTGCCATCGCTGCATGTATGTTCGAGCTCTCTACCCTCCGATTCATCATACTGACCAACTGATAGTTCGTGGGTATGCTAATGAGCCTTGCCATGACTGGCTTCGTGCACATGACATCTGTCATCGGGCCTCCATCACCTCCATCTCCCGAGCTTCTCGTCGAGATCTTCCGTCACGGCAAGATTGACGGCGCTCTGCTAATGCCCGCTCTCATCGACGCGCTCTGTCTCTCGTCCGACGGCCGCCAGGCCCTCTGTCAGCTTAAGTACATCCACTACGCCGGGGCCCCTCTCTCTAAAAGGTCGGGCGATTTCCTAACCCAGCATACGCAAGTGATCCCCTGTGTCGGCAGCACCGAAGCAGGCGGCTACTTCACCACCATCCACGCCAAAAATGACGCATGGAACTACCTCTCTTTTCAGCAGAACTCTGGCGCCGAATTTCACCGTCGCACGGATGCTCTCCACGAGCTGGTATTCGTGCGTCGCCCCAAATGTGCAATGCAGCAGATCTTCCAGGTCTATCCGGACCGCGACACTTTTGAAACGAATGACCTATGGGTCGAGCACCCGAAGTACAAAGGTCTTTGGTCCATAATCGGCCGCAGCGACGAATACGTCTACCTGGCCCACGGCGACGGACTGCATGCTTCCCTCCTAGAACCGGAAATCATCGCCCATCCCAGCGTCAAGGTCGCCTTGATCGGTGGGCATGGGCGCCCCGCGCCTGTTCTTCTCGTCGAGTTGAACTCCGGTGTTGAGAACGATTCAGCGTTGGTGGAAAGTCTCCAGCCGTATATTGAAAAGGTCAATGCGCAGTGCCATGACTGCGTGAAGCTCTCTCTGTCAAGGTTGATCCTTGCGAAGGAAGAGAAGCCGTTTATTTTGACTGCCAAGGGGAGTGTGGCGCGGCTGCAGACTCTGGCGCTGTATGAGACGGAGATTGCGACCTTGTTTGATTAGACTTTGCGGTGAGTTGGATGGTTGATTGTGGCTGTATCACAGGTAAATTTAAATTTACTGGTTGACTTATCCCACAGTGCATAGAGAATACTATTGTTGATTCAGAATGGGACGATCAGCCCGAATGAACAAGAACTGAAAATCCTCGCGTTAATCAATCTAATATGAGTGGTTACGTTGTCACGTTAGATTTCCACGCACATTACAAGAATTTTCTGTCAAACAAAATATCACCTCTCTTCATTATGTGCAGTGCCTTCAGTAAGCCAAGCTCTCTATATTGACCGGGTCTCTGAAGGATCGGCATATGCAACATCGTGATAGAGATCCTAACTCAAGCCTCAGTGCGGAATCTAGGGCGGAAGCGGCTTCAATTTTCGGCAGGAACAAAGTTTAGATTGACTTCAAAGGCAATTTCGGGCCACCCTAGACATTTTCATCGTTTCAACTGCCGACACCCATCCCCGGGACAAGGGACGATGGCAATTCCCCACACTTCTGCGCAAAATAGAGTTAACTTTCTATCCGCAACTTTGGATCTCTCCAATGGCCCGCGTTCACTCCAAGGGACCTTTATCCTAAGCCATACACATTGTTTCTAGTTCCTTGGGTCCCGGTGGAGCGTACCCAATTATGCAGAAGAAGACTCGTGGTGATGATCCCACATTTCCTTTCCCCGCATGTTGATCCATCTATATGCCCCATATCAACGCATCCCCGGGTTATCAAATGCGGAGAACCCCCAAAGTCGCTGGCTGTACCATGCTGCCAAGATTGGGTTCGCTTGATTTAACTTTCCATAAGTGCGAGATTTGCGAGGAAGGGTGGATACTCTCAGCTTCTGAGTGGAAGATCGTCAGCGGCTATCAGGCTGATCTCCGGGGTACTACCTGTGGCTTTCGTCTATCGTGGAGTATGTGGATACCAAATTCGTCTATGTTTCGTTCCCGACAGAAGTGCCGCTGGGTACGAGTCTTTTCATCATCATTTTTGGAAGATCTTTGCGGAATTGGGGAATCTGGTCGATATTTTGAGGTCTCTCCGCATTTTCTGTCTCTGGAGAGGCAACGGGGCCAGAAGGATGGATCTATATAGCTCATGGCCCTCTCCATCAGTGACCTAGCAATCATCAACCTTTTCGAACACATTGTACCCGTCAGCCAAAATGTCCACTCCCACAGATTCCCCCGAGAAATATGACTTGAAAAACACCACCACCGACGCCAGCAACAGCGACTCGTCGCCTCCCCTGGCCCACGCCCAAACAAATTATTCTTCCCACATTGACTATGGCCATTTCGGGCCCCTCGCCCATGTCAACACCGCAGAGACCACGCTACCCGCCTTCGGTGGTGAATTCCAGCCGGGTCTTTATCGATCCCCTAAGAACCGCAAGACGGCTAATCCTGCGCCCCTGGGTCTTTGTGCTTTCGCTTTGACTACATTTGTGCTGGGGTGTATCGAGATGAACGTGCGATATATCACTGAGCCGAATATTATTATCGGTTTGGCTTTTTCATATGGTGGATTAGTTCAGCTTTTGGCTGGCATGTGGTATGTTCCCTATCCTTCCCTTCAAGGTGCCAACATGTAGTGGAGAGGAGGAAATGATAGAAAGCTAACGCATAACCACGAACAGGGAAATGGCCATCGGAAACACATTCGGAGCCACCGTTCTCTCCTCCTATGGCGGATTCTGGATCTCACTCGCCATCACCTTCACGCCCGGTGGGTTCGGAATCATGAGCGCCCTAGAAGAAGCCGCAGAAGGAAAGCCCTCTATGTTCTACGACTCATTTGGCCTGATGCTAATGGTAAGCCCACCTCCTCCACAAGTCTGCCCTAATACCAATATATAACGTACCTAATTCCACTATAGGGCTGGTTCATATTCACAACCCTCATGCTCCTCTGCACGCTCAAATCCACCTTCGCATTCTTCACGCTCTTCTTCGTCGTCGACATCGCTCTCCTCCTGCTGGCAGTGGGATATATCCACCGCGGGGCCGACGGCGAGCCGAACAAGAACCTGATGAAGTCGGGCGGGTTTTTCGCGTTGCTGGGCTCCTTCTTGGCCTGGTATAATGCTTTTGCGGGTATTGCGGACGACAGTAATAGTTTCTTTATTGTGCCGGTGGTGCATTTCCCGTGGTCGGAGAAGGGGAGGGAGTCGAGGCGCGCGAGGAAGGAGTCTGCTGCTGGTCAGGGGGCTTAGGGTGTTGGTTTGCGGAGTGAGAGCTTTATGTTGGTGGAACTATGGCCGGATTGGATGAATTGTGGGTATGATTGTGCTTTGAATGGGACCAGTGCTTACACTGAGTATTTGAACGAGGAATGAATCATATGAACTAAATATATAACGTATTTCACTACCGAGCGGCCACCTCCGCTGCAATTCCTGCCCGCGGGCCAAATACTAGAGGCTTTATCAACCAAACAATTGCATTTTTAAATAGAATCTATGTAGAAACCTAACTAGGACATTATAATCGCCTATATCTTAGAATATAATAATCGCTGCACCGCAGAGGCACTCGTACGCGTAATCTAATTGCAGAAAGTGCAGAATTTAGATAAAGTATATTTTAAGCTTTGTTAATCTTATTCTTGCGTAAAAATTACTCCAGATCTTTCTAAATAGCTAATTCCTCTGTAATAGCTAGCTGCTTAGTAGAGTATTTCTTTTTTCGAAGTTTTTCTTACAAGAAGTATATAATTCACGTATTTTTTCGCGTATAAAGATAAGCTTATTAAATCGCGTCTCTAGCGAAGATAAAGAGCTCTACGTACGCTCACGTATACGCGTTTTAAGTAGCAGCTTTATAATAGAGACCTACTTTCCAAACTATCTAATTATATAAGGCGTTTTGAAAGCTGAATTTGTTAATTGACTGGATAATGGTATAAGAGTTTTTAATTAAATATTCAGCTGACTAAACATTCTATCTGGATTAAATAAAACTAGATTAGCGCCTATAAAGCTATTTTAAATAGTATAATCTTTATTATATTATAGAATATAAATACTTTTTTATATAGGCTGTTTTATGCATTTTATTATATGAGTGAATTCCCAAATGCTAGTCTATATATATCTGTTAAATTTAGGGTTATTAGATTAAGAAAGCCGTTTTGAGAGAGTATTCTTCTTATGAGAAGCCTCTTATGAGGAAATACGCTATATAAGTTTAGACTTGGAATAGACGGTCTTCCAAGAGGGATTAAGTCATTTGTATTGCCCCCTGAGGCTACCCTGGTAACAGAAGCATATGAATTATGATCAAAGCCTATTGCCCTATATAAACTGGCAAAGAAATGGTTGGCTGCGGTGCCTTGCGGTGCACTGCGGCAGGTACCCACCGTATTCCGTAGATGACTACTCCAAATGTACTATAGCTGGCCACTCGCTGTCCTTCAGCGTACGTTATGATCACCAGATCGAGCTTTAATTTCAATTTCCTACTTCAGCGAAGAGTAGAGAGGGGTAGGTGGCTGGGCAAGCTTTTTGCCAGCTGGGATCTCGTTAATCGCTGCCTCACCATATTGCTAGCCCACTGGCGTGATGTGGCCTGTGGTGAATCGTGAGACCGGATTTATTTGGAACTTCAATTTGGGTAGGCTCTTCTTGCTTAATATACTATTCATTCACTTAACTTTAAACTTCACAATTTAGTGTCGTCCACTTAGACATGCATCCTTCAAATATTTGCATACATCATTCAAAATATTATACCCCATTGGATCTCTGTGTACTTCCATTTGGAAGAGACAAGTTTTTCAGCTTGGCTGATGCCCTTCGCCGGTCGAATGTACGTCCAATAGTCGGACTGGGCGGTTCTTTTTCCATCTCGTTTTCCGCAGCGACCCATTGGTCTTGCGAGCTCCTCAGTTGTATAAGAGCAGTGTATGCAGTACTCATGTGGTTTTCTATAACCGACAGCCGAGGGAACACAGCCAACGTAACTTCCTTTTGGTTTCTTGGTTTGGTGATTTTCTCTGTTGTGATATCATTGAGACCGGGAAACACAAAGGCCTCACATTCATCCTCGGCAATTGGCGGCTCGAAGTCTGGCTCATATCTGCGTCTCATACGCTGGACTGGCTTCCAGATATCAGCAGCCCTCTGCGCAACTTTGCCGAGGCTTTTATGGAATGCAAGGCGCTGATCTTCGGAAAGTAACTCGTCTAGGTATGCTGATACAGCCGTAACCACGGTTTGGATACCCGCGAAACATGCCCTTGCCTGGGTCTCTGCATCCATTGATAGAATAATTGACCGGCAGAATGATTCTTTCTCGTTGTCTAAAGCCGCCTGGTTGGCGAGTACTTTTCGGAATTGGTTATCCGCCGTTGCGAGATATGTTGGCTGGAAGATATGCTTGTCAATCTCTCTCGCAAGAATAGCCAGAATGACAGCAAGTCGCATTTGTTTTGCCGCCACTGTATTGGAGCATGGAAGAGGGATATGATGGATCCGGGCCAATTCGCATTGCCTGAGTCTCTCCCAGGCTGAAAGATTCTGCCATTTGAATTCATCAGACTATATCAGTTTCCCTTTTGAGTTCTCTAGCGGTAAGATGATTTATTATAGTAGCCAACGTACCCGAAGAGTATCACCGGGAAGGTTCGTCTTTAACTGGGCATTAATCTCCGTTTTTGCGTAGTCCCAGAGGCCGATGAAGCTCTCAATCCTTAAGGCCGTTAGAGTGTTATATAGGGCTTTGGTCTGATAATCAGTAGGCTTACACTGAGTCTTCATTTGTCTCATTGTATCCAACAGCGAAGCTCTCCAGCTTTGTGAGCTGTGCTTGGGTTGTCGCTAGCGACCCTTTGAGAGAAGCAGTCTCATCTTCCAGCTCTTTGACTCTTTTTTTAGAAGCATTTAGCTTCTCCTTCAATTCTGAACCCGCTGACTTCATCTTATTGATGGTGGATTCCTTGTCCTGAATCCTTTGCTGTAAAGTATTGATGTTTTGTTCAGCATTTGCTAGCTTTTCCTTCTCCTCTGCATTCTCTAGATGAAGTTTCTTCACCTGCTTCTCAAGTTCGTTCGTGGCTTTATCGCGCTCTAAAATGCACTTATCTTTGTCAACGATAACCTTCTGAAGCGACAGTACCTGTTCTTTTGTTGCTTTATGCCCTCCCTTTTCTTTTTCATTGATTTCAAACATTTCACTAAGCGCTGTTTCCTTCTTCTTTTTCTGCTCGTTCATCTCCTCTTTAACTTTTGCAAGCTCAAGATCCTTGGATTCAAGCTGGCTGCGTAATTTTGTGTTTTCATCGTGGACAGCTAAAATAGTATCGAAACCGGCCGTGGAAGTCAACAACTTGAGTTGAGCGAAAAACCCCTTCACGACTCCTGCGTCAAGGGCCTCAGACGTGGGTATGGGCGGTGAGGTCTGGCTTTTGGAAGGCATATTGACAGGTATCTCTGGTGGGCCCAAACTATAAGGCTGGTAGTGTTAAGTTAACTTATAGCATTTTGATGTCCCCAGCGACCCGTGGTCCATCTCACTAATCCCCTCGCTTCCGCCTGGCCCGCGGTTCATCGCAAGGATACCGACGTGGCATAACCTCTGTGGCCATCGCAGAGGGAGGGCTCCTACGATTTACGGTGCCAGCATTCCAGGTGCGGGGTTTACAAGGGTCCAGTTTTGATAACCAGGAGAATCCGGTGGAATACGTATTGTGGGGTTTCTTGATGCAGGTGCGAGTCATGCTTGCTTAAAGAGACAACATGGTATACCCCGCCGTAAACACATGAACCATTTGTCGCCTAAGCTTTCAACCTATTGGCCGTCGAATAATTTGCCCCAGCCGAACGAATGTGTTCATCACAACCTTATGAATTAGTTGTTCACGAAGGTGCTCTAAGACGCCTACTCGCCAAAGGTGAATTGTGGACCGAAGTTAGTTAATGTGATTTCAATTAAGGATATACAGGCATCATCAGAAACGCCGTCCACGTCGGGGTCGAAAAGAGTATCGCGAGTGGCTAATCGGTTCCGATCGTGCTTTGTCAGCAGAGATACTAACGTAATCGGTAAGCGAGCGCCGCATGCAAGCGAGCGCCGCAGCTCACGCGTTTTGGCTCCGGTCGAAAACCTCACTCAATTCAACTACCAGCCATGCCTCCAAAAGCGCGTCAAAAGGCTAGAAATCTAGCTGAGCAAGAAGGCAGGATCTTATTAGCGATTTCTGTTATTCAAAAGGATGAAATCCGCAATATTCGTGAGGCAGGTCGTATCTTTAATATTCCTGAGAGAATTCTCCGTCGACGGCTTAGTGGTATTCCAACACGTCTTGAAACACGCGCCAACTCCCATAAAATGATTCAAAATGAGGAGATTTCGCTTGTACGATGGATCCTATCGCTTATTCAACGTGGAGCACCTCCCCGACCGTTTCATGTACGAGAAATGGCCAATATTCTTTTTGCTGCCCGTGATACTACACCTTTTCAATCAGTCGGACAGAAATGGGTCTACAATTTTGTTCAAAGGCATGATGAATTGAAGACATGCTTTTTTAGACGATACGACTATCGGCGTGCCCAATGTGAAGACTCTAAGGTTATTAGAAAGTGGTTTGACCGTGTACAAATCACTATAATGCAGCATGGGATTGTATCTGAAGATATCTACAACTTTGACGAGACTGGCTTTGCTATGGGCCTAGTAGCTACTGTTCGGGTAGTTACTAGAGCTGATTTCTATGATAGAGCACGTCTTGTACAGCCAGGAAATCGGGAATGGGTTACTTTTATTGAATGTATTAGTTCTTCTGGATGGGCGTTTTCACTTTGTATAATCTTCAAGAGAAAGGTCTATATAGAGGGCTGGTATCAGAGTGATCTATCATCTGACTGGAGGATTGAAGTCAGCCCAAATGGCTGGACTAGTGATGAAATAAGCCTTCGCTGGCTTAAGAATCTCTTTATTCCTACCACTACTAGTCGTACAACTGGGAAATATCGTCTTTTAGTTCTTGATGGCCATGGCAGTCATCTGACACCTCAGTTCGATCAGATATGCAGTGAGAATAATATTATTTTTATTTGTATGTCTGCTCATTCATCACATCTATTACAACCTCTAGATGTTGGCTGCTTTTCACCATTGAAGGGTGCATACGGACATTTAGTGGAGAAGCAGATGCGCCTTAGAATCAATCATATTGACAAGCTTGATTTTCTTAAGGCATTTCTTAAGGCACGTACAGAGATTTTTATTGCTAGCAATATCTGCAGTGGTTTCTTTGTTACTGGGCTAGTTCCATATAACCCAGAGCGAGTGCTCAGTCAGTTGAATATTCAATTAAGAACTCTTACACCACCAGGCAGTCGGTCAACCAATTCAGTGCCTAAGACACCTTATATCACTAGGCAGCTTGAGAAGCAGGCATCTACAGTAAAAAGAAAGCTTCTTGAAAGGCGTACGCAGCAAGGAACACGCTCACAGAGTCCTACCTCTTTCTTAGAGGTACGATTGGACAAGATTATCAAATGCAGCGAATTAGTCTTAAATGAGGCAGCTCTTGCGCGTCAAGAAATTCGTGATTTACGAGCTGCAAATGAGAAGCAGCTTCAAAAGAAGAAGAAGTCTACTAAGCAACTTACTGCTGCAGAGGGTCTTTCTATTCAGGAAGATCAGGAGCGATTTCAGCAGGAGAATCAGATCTCTGAAGCTCAAGATACTGGACCTAGGGATCCAGGGCTTCTTGCAGTTGGGCCCCGTGTACGCGCTCCACCGCAGTGTTCTAATTGTCATATTCGGGGGCATACTAGGGTTAGATGTCCTAATCCACCTAGTAATTAGTTTGATATAGAAATGCGATTGTTTTGTTGGTAAAAAGGTGCTTAAATCTCACCTAGTCGTGGAAATCGGGTGGAGGTGCGGCGCTCGCTTGCATGCGGCGCTCGCTTACCGATTACGTTAACGTAATCGGCACCCGAGCGAGCCACGTAAGCGAGCGAGCCACCCCTTCCGCGGCTAATGCCGCCCATATACAATTCTGATTTACATACAAGAAAATGATGTTTTTGAAGCTTCAAATCGCTGTTTAAATCGCCTATTTTCAGGCAGTTATCCAATTAAGGCATCGTGTACATATATAGCCTAAATTGTGACATTCATTACACCAAAACGATGCCCGGCAGCAAGATTGATCTTTTTGACCAGATATGATTCCAATAACTTTATCTCTCGCGCGATCACGCTAGAAAACTTCTCTAATTTCTTCAACAATGAAGTCATTTAAGTCTGCAATTTATTTCTTATTCCGTCTCTTCTTGATGTTTCGCTTCTCATTCGCCCAACGAAGTTCTTGGACTTTCTGTTCTATTAAAATCACTTGATTCAAGGCCATTTCAGCACCCTTAAAACTATAGCCCAACGCCGATTTCATTGGTGTATTAATCATGTTGTTATTAAGAAACTGTTGAAACCTTAGTTCTTGCTTTTTGAATTGCTTTGCATTCATAAATATTTTTGAAATCATCGATTGAGAATCTCCACTGCTTGGTCGGCTAAGTATTTTATAAATGAGTTGATCAAGTATCTCGCTTGATTTAAAAAGTATTAGATCTGAAGTCTTAAAGACATTCTTGATATTGATACTCTTAAACATCATTAAATGAATCTTTGAATACTCATCAAGAAAATCATTTTTATTGATATATTAATATCTCGCATGTATAAGGCATTCCATCAAGCCGTAATACATCTGTTTTAAAAACGCAAAACAAGCAACATTTAACAACTAACAGAGATGCGATGATCCGGCAAATATATAAACAAGAATAACATTATTCTGATAACAGATATTATCAAATTTGAATATCAAATGTGATTCATAACTATCAAAAATCAAAAGACTATATTTATCGACTTGACAATTAATAATTCACGAAACGAAATGATTTTTAAGCCAATGTAAACTAATTTCATTATTTGTCCAACCGTTTGATGATAAATTGATTCTTCATGTAAAAGATAATTGGCTTTCATATCATCTTTCTATATGAACAGCTTTTTTAAAAATCAAGTACAATAATAAGGCCCAATCAACAGTATTAATACACTCGATTGAAATTATTCATTCACGATTATCCGACTGAACAAAAAACGGCTTTCCTTCACATGTTAATCAAATAATCACTTTAGTCATAGCAACTTGGCCTATACAAAAGCCTGTTTCATCAAAATTGAAGATGTCTTTATCAAGAATTCTGTATTCACGTATAGCAAGTTGAACGCAGTCAAACCAAATCTAAATAATCTTTGAATTCTTACATTTCGCTCTTTTAACATCAAGCTAACAACTATATCGATTTTTTAAGATTTCATAACAAACAACAAAATTAAACACCCATTTCTCGCCGACAAAAATATGTAAATCTTGATCATCGCGCTTTCTGTCAAGGTGCGGGCTGGCGGGGGTGGTAGAGCTGATGGCAGGCAGGTAGGCTAATAGCTCACAGTATCTCTGGATTGCTACAGGGTCAAGCTATATACAGACTGATAGACAAGATATAGTTCAAAAAGCTACAACAGGATCTTCAAACAAGCAGAAAGATATGCAGATCCCGGAACGGATAATATGATTTTCCAAGCCATAGTTAAAAGGTGTTTTAGGCATCAAGATCTGCACCGTGACAGTACGCTTCTCTTTTATGGCCGAATTCCGTGAGACCGAAGAAAATCAGATTTATCAGAATATCGGCGGTGATAATTTTGAATGATTTGTTTTGCGTGTTTAAGATATTTAGCAGACTTAACAATAGAATTCATATATTCGATCCATTTGACAATATAGATTAGGCGACAATTGCGGCCGCGACAATTTCAAAACAAATCAAAGATATTTTCGACTTTTCATTTCTTTAGTTTATTGACTTCCACGTGCGATGACAAAAGATGATGTTGATTAAACAAAGATTCTGAACAGACAAAGATAAATAAATTAATATTAAATATAAAATGTATTTTCATGCTGGATGAGAGTTCCAGACAATAAATGTATGAATTAATAACTTTTTTAATATAATATAAGCCCAAAGTATTCCAATCCAGCTTTTTGCTAAATCGTAAAGTTTTAATATGACGAGCATCTAGCCATATTAATTGGTCTTTTTTAAACCTTTGGACAAAACAGCGTCGTTTATTAGTTTGTTTAATATAACGGATCTAAGCTAATAACATTTCTGCACGAACAAATTCTGTAATAGTTTGCATTCGAATAACAAATTGTTCTATATCTCGAACAACAGATCAATTGTGATCATGATAATCTTTGATAAGTACTGATTTAAATCTTATACGAAAATGAAATTTGTAATTCGCAAAAAAGAGAATTATCTTGATAAATTTAGAATGCGTGACATTTAAAACAAATTCAGTCAAAAGAAACCAGATAT